GTAATTAAAATAGACTAGAGGAGTATCAAAAAAAAAAAAAAAAAAAGAGAAAACAAAATCAATTAAAGAAATTAAAGAATATATGAAAGGCAAACAATGCCTGGTTTAGCTGAAAAGTCACATGATTTTAAGAGGACAAAATTCATATTTCCAACAATAGGGACAGCCACATATCCAAAGTAGGTATTGTATGAGAAACCAGAACCCTTATACTCTTAGAGAAACTGAATCATTGAGTAGGCAAGAAATACTTGCTCTTGAAGCATTTCCAGTTTATAACTCCAACAGCCCTGAACTAGGGGAGTGCTAGGACATCAAATTATTTTCCAAAACCACCTGAAAAGAAGCCAGAGACGCTCCAGGATTTATTTTTCCTTGAAGAGCTTAATATCTTCACTACAGCAAAAGTACATTGCTTCTAGCCTCAACAGGGAGTGTTCTGCCAAGACTGCAGGAAAGTAAAAAAAACCCAGAACACAGAATATTACACTCAATTAATTACATGCTTAATTGCTCTCTTCTTTTAACAGCCTAATGAATAGAGCAAGTTTCAGTTTCAGTATGTTCATGTAGCCGAAAGTTTCGAGTCCAATAAATGAGACAGGACTGATTTGCAACATCTGCGCTAAGATCAGATAAGTTTGTGCAACCAGAAGTAAACACTAAGAGTAAAACCTATGCCCCTTGCTCTCCACCCAGAGCACCTTCTGTACAACCTTCAAACAGAACTTTGTATGTTATGGAACATGACAGCCCCAATTAAGCTTAAAGAGAATCTGACTCATCTTAGATCCCAGGTCAGGGGACCACCATGTGTCAATGGAACTTCTGCTCTCTTCACTTCTTTGGTCAGGATCGGCTTGCACTATTGAATCAACTTATGTTTCTGAGTCAGTAGTCTAAAAACTATCCCAAGGCACACACAACTTTCATTTCAACCTTCTTGAGGCACACATCAAAGTGATGAATCAGGAAGCCAGCTGGCAAGAAGCAGGTTCCAAGTGTTTGCATAAACTGCAAGTTAGCTATTATACTAATGGCAAACAGCCCAATTCCAGTCAGGAATTCAGAGGCACTTGCCCTCATTAAATCCCAGCAAAATAAAACAAAAACAAGGTCTCTAAGCTAAGCCACTAATGTTACCTATGTAATACAAATATTTCATTTCAAGGGTCAGATTCAATTTGCTTTTTGGTCACTCTGTACTGTGTACCTATATGAGGTATCTTGCCATTGAAAATCAAACCTGCCTGTCGTTTCTAGAAAACAAAGAAAATCACCTTGTACTTCCTCTACTTACAGCTTTGCACACAAAAGAAAAAACTGCAGTGATTTTTTACTTCTTTATAAGAAATGCAATGTTCCCAGACATTCCTAGTCTCAGCTGTAATACCCACTCTGATGAAACTTCTGCAGGAAAAGGTGATGCGTGCCATTTCTTTTACAAGCAATATTATGATACTCGCTGTCAAAACTCTTATAATCCTGAAGTTAAGAGTAATTTTTTGGGTTTGAAATGGAAATTTAGCTTTGGCGTTCACAATGGAGAGAACGGGCACACGTACACAGGTAATTCAGTCAGACATGAGCTCAGCCAGAGCACATTCCAAGCTGCCCGGACACGAGCCAGCTCCAGTTCACCAGTCATGAGCTGTGCTAGCACAGCACTGTGCCCACACCAATAAAATCTGCTGAGAGGCTGGGCATGCTGGGCTGGGCACAGTCCTGCCCTGTCTGGCCAACTCCAATCATGGACAGCGGATGCTGGGTCTGTCTGCATCCATCTATGCACACACTGCTCTGCAAGTCCCACTGCTGTGAATTCTTTTCTCCTTACAGAGAGCACAGCACCCTACACTTGGGATTTGAAGTATCCTCCTTGATCACAGCCATGGCAATTCCTTATAGCTGTTCCAATGAGCATTTAAAACAAGAGAATAATTATTAGCACTATAGGCCAATGACAGGCACGGGCAATTAAATGGATTTTATTTACATAACTGTCCTTTGCACTTAGCAGCATTTCTCCCAGGCATCTATTCTGTTGCAGAAATCAACAAGACTCGTAACTCAGTTCCTGTCAACATCTCAAAGACAAAAGACACATTTTTAGTACTATTCAAGTCTACCTTAAAGAAACAAAGAAAATTAAGTTACTCATTAAAAAAATTGTGAATCCTAGTTCTTAGGAGAAGACAGAAAATGATACCATGAAAAGAGATCAAGTAATACAGTTCTTCAAAGTTTTGCTCCAAAGACCCATGTAACTAAACTTAACTCTGCCTGTGCAAAGAAATTAGTAAGTCTTCCAAGGATGGAAAAAACACATGTATTAATCATCTACTGACAGAGAAACCAAAGGACAGGTGTGCTACTCTCAGCTCAAATAACTAGTCTGGAAGATCAAGGAATGAAACTGTAACATGAATGTGTTAATAACATTAAGTTTTCCTTAATAAAAAAAGCCCTGGAGCAGTTGAAGGCTGACACAAGTCCTCCATTTCATATTTTCGTCACTTAAAAGGTAGATTAAAAAATAAACAAAACAGCCAACAAACACAGATTTAGCGAGCTACATACTTGATTTTTAGGAAATGTAGTAAAACACTGTTCAATTATGCAACACTGGCTGTGCCAGCCCCTTCTGTCTTGCCTGTAAAAAGGCACAGGGTAAAAAAATCAGACCAGAGTGTGAGATTTCTGTCCCTATTTCAAAGTAACTTCTCACTACTATTTAACTTTTCTATTGTCTAAAGTAAGTATTACATGTTTTGAAATGAACTACAAATTGTCAACTAAAAAAGTAACAACAGTATTTCAGGTATGTTCAACAGCCTTCAAACTCAAAGCCATTGACATAAACTGGAGAAGTTTAGCTTATTTGAAAAGCAAATTTAAACTGGCCACTAGCCTTTAAAATAAATTTTAAATTTTCTTGTATACAACAATATTTCAAATATAGAACTCATATTTGGATTTATGCTCTTTATTCATCATTTGGGTCCATCTGTATACTCATTACACTGTGAGTGTAAAACCCATAAAAAGATATCATCCAAACAAGTTTAGGCAGACTCAGGTAACAAAAATCAGGGGATGGTCACACAGGAAGACAGTTTAGGGCAAAATTTATGTTATTCTTCACTGGAATAACCTACATGCTGCAAAAATACTAGATAGTATCAGTCAGTATTTAAGTTTGCAATATTGTCTCTAGGTATGATCTGAGATCTAATACAGAGTGCTTATAATTCTTAACTAAAAATTGCTTGTCTGACTTCAGAAACAAATTTAGTACTCACAGAGGATTTTATGGGAGATTTTTGAGAGAGCAAAAAGTAAATATTTTTCATTTTGATTTACAATTTGTGCAAGAATACTCAAAAATAATGCTTGCTGGAACAAGTTCTAACAGACAGTCATCACTGGTGACAACCAAGACAATGAAATAACTTTTTGGCTAAGTTGGATGTGAACTGCTCATGTGCTATAGCTGTCAGGTTCATGTATCATGCACACCTGCATAAAACAATCTCAGTGCACAATTTTCAGAGAGAAGCTGAACCTTACCTTTAGTGACAGAAGGAATGCTTTCTTGCATCTGGATTATTTAAATTGACTAACTAGTCCATTCTAGTTTTAAAAACTCATCAGATTTCAAAAAGAAGTGAGTTTGTGCTCCCTAATCCATTAATTAAAAGAGACGATAGAGAAAAAAAATGCTTGGAGAGCTACTCTCTCAACCTTACAAAGGACAAGGCAAATGGAAAGAAAGTGTTCATCTTCTAAATACAGTTAATATTTTGTCATAGATAAAAAAAAATATTTGTTGTCTCCCTTTGTCACTCAAAGCATGGAACACTGCATGGAACAAAATGCGAGTTGGGGAGAGCTGAATTACAGAAACAGGCAATTCACATCCAAAGAACAGCCTGACATACCTCATGTATAAAATGCCACATCTTTTTAAATGCAAAAACCTAATAATATAAGTAAATATATCAGACTACAGAATTGTTTAGAGAGGTATACTGTTGTGTTTAGACACACAAATACAACATGTATATATATTCTATTCCACAAAGAGAAATGTAAACTCATAAATCTCTATCCTGAACATAATCAAGATCATACACAGTAGATATGGCAGTGGGGGATGACCAGAAATGAACTGAATAAAATGAAATTTAAATTAGTTTAAAATCTATTAGCTAAATGAAGACTTTTTGGCTCACTTAAAAAATAGTAAAATATGTATTTCAATATTAATAAACTTTATAGTTTGTCCAAAATTAATTAAGAAGTTATGTATTTTTAGAATCTGGTCAGCTATTCTGCATGTAAAATTTACATAGGTATCCTATTTATCTTCTATCAGAACAAGAAAATCTCTAGAGAACACACTGTAGGAACTAAACCAAGAGTGAAATTCAGGTGTAATTTTCTGTACAATTCCCTGACACCAGAAGGCTTGCTGCTAAGTCTCCCTAAAACCAATCTGCAGAGATAAAACATGTAGTTAAACCTACAGTTAAGCCTTTCAAGTGGAAAGCTTATCCTGTGAAAAGCTGCATTTGAAGGGCATTGAGCAGAAGCTACAGTCAAGAGCTGTACCTGAAGTCACACAGTATCACTTTGTCAGAAAAAAGAATATTTACTGCTATGACTATGTCACTGTACACCACATAGAAAAGACACAAATATTTAACAAAGCAAAATTATTATCTTGAAAAACATAGTTCCTATTTTTCATCAGTTATCAAAACAAGCTACACCTGAATTTTCTGCAGCCACTAACCAGTTTTGAAACTGGCAGCAAAAAGCAAATTACAGGTTTTTTAAGTAATTCAACATGTTAAATTAATAAATTATAGTTAACCTAAATTTACTTTATTGTGACATCTCAGACAATGTAGATGTGAATTTCAACTGAAATACCTGAATGGCACCAAACAATTGTGTCTTTAGGAGCAATATCAGCAACAACTTGTAATACTTACTGGTATATAATAGATATTCATTTTAGGGGCTTCATTGGCAGTCATTAGCATTCCTAAAAAGAGATTTCCACATTTTAAAATATTGATTAGAAGAGGATAATACTATTTTTAAAAAAAAGCTCATAAAGTACATATTCTTGGCTTGCAATGGACATTAATCAAGATCTGTAATAAATTGTTGCATCAAATACCACAGAAAGAAAGGTGTAATATCAGCCTAATTAACAAAGCTTAATTTTCTATATATTCATTCCCTTTTGTCTTCTATCTTAATTGTTCAGCACCACTTTGCAACCACTAAGCTCTGATAAGTGCAGGCTGCCAACTTTCATAACAAATATGAACAGTTCATCCCTTAATACTGTTTAGAACAAGTCCAGTTAGTATTGCAGTTAAAAACTACATTGGACATAAAATTGCATTATTAATACATTGGTATTAGAACATGTGGTTATTTGTGGGGTTTTTTTTAACACACACCTCAACAGAGCCATAAATTATAACATGGTTTACACCCTCATTCATATTTCATCTGGGGAAATAAATACAACAGCAGCTTCTCAACTCAAAATGAGATAAAGGATACTGTGGCTTCAAAAGGAGTAATACTAGTCCTATAACCAAGCAGGGCAAATGTAGAATTTGAAGTATCTATGAATATACCCAAGAATATACCCAAGAAACACCACGAATAAGGGGTTTACATACTCTGAATAAAAAAAAAATATTGTAGGAATACTAAAATCTGTAGAAAATCTACTGCCACAAGACTTCTTGTGAGTTCAAAATGAAGAACACTCTCAATTTCCTTCTACATAAGAGTAATAAGAACATTTGCCATATACTTTTATGTTTATCTCAATTCAGTCTTTCCAAAGTAGCTGACCAACAGGTAATACAAAAGATTGATTATGAAGAAGAAAAGTGCCATCAAATTAGATAACATTCTGATCTGAAAGAACTGTAACATATGCTACTGAGACTATGAATAATTGGGTCAATTACTACACACCCAGAGGGCAGAAATTTAATTTACACCCAAGTAGAGGAATGCAATTACCATGGGTGGAGTAATCCTTCCTACCTAATCCTTTTATTATAAATACACAATGCAGCTGGACTTATAATGTCAGAAAAAAAGGGGGCTTGCTTTCCCAGCAAAGCAAAATATTTGTGAAAGCTTAGTCAGCAAACAGACTAAAAAACTGTGTCTGGAAAGGTTTGCAGACAATTTAAGGAAAAAGCAAGAATTTACAGCATGTGCTTGAATACACACACAGAGTACTCCAGTATAGTGTACAAGATAAATGCTCTCCTAATATTAAACTCACTACTATTTTATAAGACAAAGTATCTTTCCATTGACTGAATAGGAATTATTAGGAAAAAAAGACAAATTAATTCTGCAGATGCTTCAAAGTTGACAGCGAAGTAAAACCTCCTCTTTGAGAGTCTTCCACCAATAATCAAAGGAGGACAAAAACAGATTTCTGAACAGTATATGAGTGTATACTACAAGGGAAACAGACGAATGAAAGTTAACAAGTCTTAAAGGAGAAGTCTATTCCATGCATTTTTATTGCTTTAGCTTGTTAGTTTTAATCAATTTTTATGGGAAGAGAAACCACACCCTAGCAAACTACACAACAGCCTAGTTTGATTACTGTAGAAGGGAAATAAAGGAGAGGCTGTTTTCAGAAGTTATACTAAGACTGTCTCTGGAAAATGGTCTGCAATACAGTATCATGAATGTAAAAGAATAAAAATGGGAGTATGCAGTGAGAATATGTAGGAGCAGCAGTTTTAGAAAATGCACATTTTTACCTTTTAATTTTTCTTATGGTAATTGGACACAGATTTCTATCACTGGAGATACTGTCAAGTTTCATTTATATTCTACAACTTAAATTGACTAAAGGCTAAATGGACTCAGTAAGTAAATTTTTTTCCCCTGCCCCCATTGTGTTCATTTGTGATCAGAGGAAGATATTCAACTATTAAGAGATCTACTGAAATTTGTCATCATATAGTTTTCAGTCAAAGATATACAAGGGTTTGCTTCCCAGGAAAGGTACTAATACTGAAGATGGTAGGTAAAATAGTTTAATTAAAAATGCCTAGCTATGACAAAATACCACCAAAAAAACCAGTTCACAGTATACTGATCTTGAGTTTACAGTAACTGATAGAATTATAGAACCACAGAACAGTTTGGTTTGGATGACTTTCCCATGGGCTCCATTCTCAAGCTTGTCCAAGTACGCCTGGATGGCATCACCTCCTTCAGCCTGGTGTCATCTGCCATTTGCTGAGACAGCTCAATCCCACTGTCTGTGTCACTGATGAAGATATAAATATCTAAATAAAGCTTGTCCCAATACAGAGCCCTAAGGGACACCACCTGTCACTGATTTCCACTTGAACACTGAACTGTTGACCACTACACCTTCTGGATGAGACTATCCAACCAATTCCTCATCCCCTGAATAGTCCATCCATCAAATCCTTATCTCTCCAATAAGAGTGAAAATGGGGTATTTTGCCTTTCTGAGCAGCAGTGACACATGAAGTGCTAAAACACAAGCTAGGCAAAGATCTCCTGGCTTTCCTGTGCCATGCATCTAGAGGGGCTCTGAGAATGCTGGGGCACCAGTAAGAGCACTGAGCCAAACCATACTGAGACTGAAATCATGTTATATTTCCACCTTTCCACAACTACAAACCCCTTTTACTGAAAGCATTTCTTTATTTTCAGATCTTCAGTCATGATTATTCCTTTAACTCTGAACAAGCATGAGGTGGTTCTCAAGCATCTTAAGTGCTGGTCCAACAGTATTTATGATGAACATGCAATGCACCACCTCTTACCCTTGATCTCTCCATTGCAACATGATCTTGTTTTTACCCCACTGTCTCCATGGCACTATAAAGTACAACCCAGTTTTCTTCCCACAACAGTTCTTACCAAAACCATCAACCCATCCCCCTACAGACAATAGGAAAAGCAGCACTACAGACCTGGACTGCACAATCTAGATCTCAATCACAGACTTGCGAAAAGTAATGTCCAATAGCAACATCAGGGACGTGTGTGCATTCAGTTCTTTGTGCTACAAGATTTGTCGTGCAAAGTCTCATGAAAATCATTTCTGCAAAAGCACACGAGTCATGTCCACATACCACAAAGGCTACAGAGCATCCACAGCTGAGTAATGCCCATCCTCAACATATTCAAACTTGGCTTTACCTGAGCAATCTGATCAAACTTCAAAGCTGGATCTAACTTCAAGTTGGTCCTGCTTTGAGTAGGAAATATACAACTCCCAGGGGTACCTACCAACCTAAATTACACTATGATTCTACATTGACAAATAAATTTTTTCTGTTCCACTCCCTGTAGTGAGCTCTTCATTGATGCTGTGTGGATGTTAATTTGCTGCTGGGCTATCTTTTAGATGCAACCAATAAGCTCACAGGTGAAACCTGGGTGAAAGGCTGAAAATCAGTCACTCCAACAATCTCTCTCTCTGCAGCCACCATAGATGAAGGTTTATCCATCTCCAGGGCGTAGAGTCCACCCTGTCACCATGCAGTAATTCTCAAATACACCCACATGAACTCCTACATTCAACCAGCACACATGGCATGTATTCTGCTCATAAGGTCGAAAATGCCCACCATCTTATCAGGGAAGTGTATCTAATTGCTCATCTTACCCCAAAGAGAAAAAAAAAAAAAGAAGTGTATCTAATTGCTCATCTTACCCCAAAAAGGAAAAAAAGGAAAAGAAAAACCTCCAACCCATTCTTAACTGAAGTTGGCAGAAAAGACAGATAAGTTTTAACTTGCCAGAAATCTCACGCTCACTTATCTACAATCTTAAATTTGAGCTGCTAGTATGAATCAAAGTCCAAGTTCCTCTGTCTTTACTGCTACCTCTCTCTAAAATTAAGATAATAGCAGTTTACAACTCAGGCATTGTCTGTTTCCAGACTTTTGCTCTGTGCCATCCTAGTGGCCCTAACTTATTTCATCCTTTTCAGTACTGCTTTCTAAAAGAGAAGTAGGTATCACACCATACTTAAGAACTAAAGCAACTCATATTAAGCAAGAAAATTAAGTCCAGTTGCAATCTGAAGTACAACCAAAGCATATATGCACATACAACCATCATTCTGTAAAATATTTTTACTCATAATTTAAAGTCCCAGAAACCTTGGTTAAAAGTGATCCTCAGTTTTGATCTCTGAACATAACATTATGAGATGCAACAAATCTGAAAAAAATCACAAAAACCATGCAAATTTGTGCACTTAGGAATCTACATTTAAAACCAAAGTAATAAACCTAAGGGATGGCACAATTTAAGTGCTGTATTTAAATCAACGGAAGATCAAATTCTTGAAACACTTGAAAAAAAAGTGTAAATATGCTGTAAAGAGGTATTTCCTACCTCTAGGAAGCAAGCTCTAACTCATTGGGACTTAGTCAAGACAATAGGCCAAAACTTCTGTTCTTACTATAGAATGAGTCACTTCAGATATTTGAAGGGGTAAAAGAGGCCAATCACTCAATTAACAGCACAGCAGCTTCCAACTGCAAAGAGGCTCCTATATAATACAGATGCAGAGGAAACAAGGAAAAAAGGAAACTAACTGACAAACAACCCTTTATTCTAAGTTCTCCCATAAGGAGGAAAGTAGACCTAAATTGTATCACCTAAACAAAGACCACACCTTGCTTTTCCTTTTGAATTTAGCAAGACATTAATATACTTAACATACCTGAATTTGGATAAAGGCAGACATCATTTATATCATGTTCTGGCTCCATTGAAGTAAATATCTTTCCCTGAAATTGCAGGAAGAAAATAAATCATAAAGAACTCTAAACAATATAATTAAATTCAGTAAATCTAAACATTAATAACAACTACTATAGAAGCTAAGAAACATGATGGAATAAAGATGGAACAGATTTCGCAGAACAATAAAATGTTATTAATATCTGAACATAACAAAAGGAAGACAGTATTGTCTTTTATCTCTGATTCAATCTCTTACAAGGAAGTACAGCCTACTGGTAATTGAAGACACAGCAATGTACAGTGGCACCTCTAATTTCTCAGCTTACACTTCTGTATTGAAAATATATGTCAGATTTACTTTATTTTATGTAAAAGTGAGGCTGAGGTCCACAAGTTCTGGGCACACTGTCAGTGTATCCCTCACTTTATTCAACTATGAATGTGGAAGTTTTAAATAATTTTACTTTGCTAAGTATGATTAGCTGAGAAAATGGATTAGGAGTAGAATTTGAATGTGGAGCTTGATTCTTCCACTTGTAGTAATGTCTACATGAAATGAAATATAGCTCAGCACTTTATTTATGATTTATAAACTCATTTTTAAAGAGGTCTTGATATAAAATAAAAGCACTAAGAGCATACAGTGGTATCTAGCTTAGATCAGAATTGAAGTTATAAAGGTTAGTTAAAAAAGAGGTAAAAGCGGGAAACAATGTTCTCAAAATAATAACTGGAACACAGTCTGAAAAACCCAGACAAAATACAGGTGCTCTTATAAGCCAACACACAAAACAGCCAGTAAAGGAAGAGTCTCTAACAACTGGACCACATAATCTGAAGCATGAGACTACATGCCTACACAATTCTAAATGAGGGACAGGAACAAGGTAAATTTTGATCCTGTTCCTCTTTTTTTTTTTTTTTTCTTTCCCTGCAGCAATCCCACCTACCTTTCTGGGCCCTTCCTTTCCCTCCCAGTTACATGCTGTTACCCCACCCACCTCTGGTCTGTCCCTGATGATTAAGAGGAGTCCTCCTCCACCCTGGCCTCAGCAGACAAAAGCCTGGTGCTCCCCACCCCAAGGCACGTCTCAGCATGGGGCCATTCTGGTATCAAAGCCATGTGCTCTCCACCCGCAGTCTGCCTCTGCACTTGGTTCCTGGCCAGAGGTAGTCAGGAACCAGCATCTGGGACAGAAGGAGCCAGCTGGAACATACTCTAGGAAAGAGTCCAAAGCTATCTTTGCCTTCCAGCAGTGAGAAGCCCTCCTCTTTCCAACCAGAGGCCACCTGACAAACTTACAGAGCTTCATTCTCAAAGAGGGAAATATACATACCTAGGAAAAATGGAGAGAGGCCACTGCAGATGTTTTAAATAATAACCAATAATTTATTTGCTCTTTTAAACAGTAACAATTAATTGCAGAGGAGCTTACAAAAAGCTACTTGCAATCACAGAAAAAATAAGAGGCTGTTGAAAGTTCATGAGGCAGCACAACAATACTGAAGTGACTGCCTGAAATAATTAGGAAAAAAAGCCTCTACTACAACTCTCTTTATGTTTCACTATAAAGTTAGAAAAGCATAAATGGAGCATGTTTTTCAGAAGGAGCACAATGACTACAGACATCCCCTCAAACCAAAACAAGTTACAATAGTGTTACTATGAATTCTGGGGTAACAAAACATGCTGCCCCATAGAGTCATAGTAAGGTTCATTTACAGAAAGAAAAGAAAGAGGACAGCGTGATATAATGAAAAGAGTGAAAATTAGAACTTACAATTTCACTTGGAGGCGCAAAGGGCAAGGATAAAGACATTGCCCATTGCAATATAATCCCCTAATACAGTGTTATTAAGACAGGCTGTTGGCTCGCTGCATGGTATCTGCTTCAGTATCCAAATGGGATCCCGTGAAAATAAGCAGTAACTGATTTTAGTACGTCTTTAACTAACTGATCTACCTTTGAAATTAACCCTACTTTGAGCAGGGAATTGGAATGAACATGTTTTCTCTGGTAAAAAAACCTAACTGGATGTATTCAAGAACATAGTGAGAAATATACAAACCAAGGCAATGGCTAACATACTACTTTTTATGTTTAAAACCTTCTCCTGAAAGAAGCCTCTTGGCCAGACATGTACAAACAGCTAAAAACCCCCTGAGACTACATCTTTATACCTGACAGGCTATTGAATAACTTCCCAGATGCTGATTTACTCAGACAGGACAAAATGCTGTGTAAATTAAGAGACATTAAAACCTCAACTTCTTACACTGAATTTCAGCTTAATTAATTAAGCTGCACAAAAAACATCCAAAAACAACAAGCCAAAATAAAATCCCCCAAAACTCCCAACCCAAATAAAGTAAACTTTTAAAAATCTGAATGCAGTAACATAAAACTACTTACTGTATCTTTGTTCCACATTTTTATGATTCGAGAATCCGCAGAGATAATTAAATCCAGCTGATGCTGAAACTGAATGGATTTAATAGGCAGGCCATAGTGGTGATCTTTGACTATTAATGGATTACTAGACCGAAGATCATATAATAGGACCTTGAAGAATAAGAGACAAATTAAATTTATAAAATTGTAAGACCATCAGGAAGTCATGCCCATCAGATCTTCACTAAACATTTAGCTAAACTTGAAATTTTACTTACATAGGCAGGATTTACATAAAATAAATTATTTTGAATTCTGAAAACAACTTATTAAGTGAGCCGAGTTTATTCTAACCTGGTATTTTAACATCAGCATGCTTCCATCTAGAAAAATTAATGAATTTAAGACCTAATCATCTTTCTAAAGACTTTTTAATTTCTATTGAAAAAAATAAACCATTTATTGTTTTCAATATTCTTAGTGTTTCATAATTAGTAATATTTCACTTTCAGATTCTTGTGTTGTTGTTACATAATTTAAATTTTCAGACTTCCTTCCAGATTCAGTGAATATAACTTTCCCTCAGTGAAATACCACAGAATGTAATTTTTTATGTCAAGGAAAGTAGAGAGTACAGACCCTGTCTTCCAGAAACTTGTATTTTATCTCCAAAATTTCCTATGGAACTTGAGAAAGTTAAATCTTTCACATGTAAAGTGTGAATAACAATAATCTTTGGGAAAAATAATATTATCAGTTTATTTAATCAGAAACACCATCTGCAATAAAATTTGTCTGACTCGTACCCTAACATAGCAAATACAATTCTCACACACATATCTGTTCTTGAAGGAGCTACAGCTTTCTAAACCCATGAAAATACTGATGATGGCAGGAAACAATCCCCACACTTCCCTTTACAAATATGATGGCAACAACAAATGAATTTAAATTAGTCTTCATATCAAGATAAGACACTAAAAATAACAGTTGAATGCCAATAATTTCTGGTTTTCTAGACTTTAAGATGAAGGAGATCACATATGTTGCATTGAGATGGTACTCATAGCCCCAAAAAGCAGCAACTTCCCCTCACACTTGACTCAAGTCATAAGTCAACTGCAAATCTGCAGTTGTAGAGTATGTAGGTTATGATGATTTCAAGTGGTACCTACAAAATTCTGAAGAGTACAAGCATTTGATAAAATTACATTGCAGTTTGACTATTACTACTCTATACCTGTAATTTATGGTCTAATAAATATTTGCAGTAATAGATAGATACTGCACTCAATGTATTGATAGACATGGATTGAGAATTTCAAGAGCAGGATCTCCTAAGAACTGTGGTACATGAAGTCAAATCTACCTGCCCAGTAGATGTTCCAACAGCCATATTCAAGGCCCCATCAAATTTCAGTGCTGAAATGGATGGCAAACCTTCTATCCTGCAAAGCACAATGCTTACAGTTAGGCATACTTTCAATAAAGCCTGTAAATAATTTTTTTTAATGTTAAAGAATAGCTAAACTAATTCTTAGCTAAGTAAAATAATTCACAGGTATCACTGAGAAATACTACTTCAAAAAGATGCACTGTTTACATTCACAACATGCATTTGTATACAAAAATAGCCACTACTTAGATCAGTGTCTAAGAGAACTCCTTTGTGACTAAGAAAATCCTTTATTCACACTAGCAATGACAAGAGAACAGGCAGGTCATTTTAAAGCAAAGTGGGATTTATTTCTAAAACAACCAAGACTTCAGAAAAATCCCGTGAAAAGCAAGCCTTTACTCACTCTGTGTCTGCTGTCACACTGCTTAATGCACAGTCCAACAGCCCAACTCGATTTCTAGTTCTAGGATCCCAGCATTCCACTTTTCCCTAAACAGTTTAGAAAATATGGTTCAAGCTTATGTAGCAGACACCTGGTAGTCTAAAAACATTTAAATAAAATTATGAATTATCTAATCTAAGGAATAATTAACAAAATTTCCTAGGTTGACATGAGTTGTTCTAATAATGACATACAGGGTGCACACATTTCATTTGTAGTTTTTTCAATGTAATCTAAATGAAAATCACTAACACTAATTTTCTTAAGATTAATAGGGTACACATGCCAGCTAGTTTCTACAGATGGCTACACTGCAGAATGAGAGAACATTATTTTTGCTCCCATCTGCAAAATCTCAAGTGCTCAGCAACCAAGTAACTCCAATATTTTATCTGCACTATGCTCTGAAAAGTCATCTTTAACATTATCTATATCTACCATAGCAAATGAGACCAATTAAATTAATTAGGTTCATGATTTCTTCTTTTCCTCCTGCAAATTAATTTCAAAATGCAACAAACACTACTGCCCTTTTCATAAAAGGAAGGCAAACATTTACCTCAGCTGTCCCCATAGCAAACAAGAAGTGGACAGGATTTATGTCACAGGCATTACTCTCTCTACAACAGAAAAAGGAGCAAGTTTAATGACCACAGAACAATTTAACACACTAACAACTAATAAGATTTCTGCAATCATGTACACTATTGTTCAGCCTGGAAAAGCAAAAATTGGAGGGAGGGACAAATGGCAACAACTTCCCATACTTAAGGGGAGCTTACTAAAAATCTGGAGGCAGAGACAGTGCTGATTACTTCAAACAGGTAAAGTTCCAACTGGATGTAAGGATAATATTTTTATGCTGTAAGGATAATTAAGCACTGGAATGTGTTAATCATAGAGGCTGAGAAATTTCCATCTTCGGAATTTCCAAGACCCCCCTGAGAAAATTCACCTGAATTCATGAGGCTGTGCCCTGAACAGGAGCCTGGGCTCTGAGTCTCTCTGCACTGCTCTGCCCATATCCAACACTTACCACCAAGCCCTGCCACATCACTCTGCACCACTGTATTCTTAAACAACTCAACAGGACTTGAAGAAATCGCCTCAAGGTGTGCCAGGCTCAGATTGGATACCAGGAAACATTTCTTCCCTGAAAGGGGCTGCCAAGCACTGGAACAGCCTGCCCAGGGTAAGTGGTTCAATCACCATCCCTGAGGATAATTAAAAGACATGTAGATGAGGCATTTGGGGACATGGTCTAGTGGCGACTTGGCCATGTTGGGTTAATGGTTGGGCTTGATGATCTTACATGTCTTCCAATCTAAATGAATCTCTGATTCTAATTATGTCAAAAGATCCTTATGATTACTTATGTTCTAAAGCTTACATCTCCAGCATGTTCTGTCTGACAATTGGTTTCCTTTCTCTCACCCAAGTATTCTGTTTCTCAGTAGGGCACCCTAGAGCCCTGTATTGTGACAACAATTCTTCCAAAGTACAAATATTTCTTCCTTTCTACACTACTTATCCCAGCACTTTCCAACTTCTTCCATTCAAAGCTCTCTACCTCTAATTCTGTAACTCATCCAACTCCCTCACCTCAAAACCTTCCCACAACTTAAGTCTCATCTCTCTAATCCAGATTTTACTTTACACCCTTACCTCTCCCATGCCAGGATTTTCCCTTTTTTAAACTCCTGTTGCTCAGTTTTTTATTGTGCCTTCCCAAATACTTCTTCATCCGTTAAGCTATTCTGCCCACCAGCTGTTGCCCACCAACAAGCTACTCCATCTAGTGAAGTCTGTCTGCCTCTCCCCACATGAAAAAAAGCTCAGTTCCTACTCTGGTAGGGTTTTCAAAAGAATCAGACACATGCTGGAGATATAAAAATTCTCTTTGGGCTACTTCAAGAGCAGAAGGACAAAGACATGTCTGGGAAAGTACATACCCCGTGGGTAGATCTCTATATGATGGCTAAATTGAGTAATAATGGCAAAGTTTTAATGAAATGCTCTTAAGATCAAGTTATATAATACCTATTTAGTCCATATTAAGCAATTTTAAAACATCCACAAAAGAAAATTCAATTAAACATAAAAACTAGAACAAAAAAGTTACAGAACATAAAATGAAATGAGAGTCAGACTCAGCATATGCTCACTTTCAACTGTGCAAAGCATTTGGGCAGCTTTCAGTACTGGTGGTGAGCATGCTAGGAGTCTGCTCCCACCTGGTGGAAAGAAGAGAGGTCATGCATTACACAGAACTTACGAAGCTTCGGTTTGCAGGGAGTTCAGAAATCTTCCTTGTTCCAGATTCAGCCTGTACACTTCAGAACTACAAAAGAAAAACCCAAAATTACTCTTGTGTCTAACTAATACTGAAAAACACTGCTGTGAATTTGGAGGCATTGTAAAGATTCTTATTCACAGTCTAATTTCAAATATACAATTTTCAGAATTCACAATTTACAATGACATAAATATATACTCTGGTGTTCAAAATACAGAGAAAAATGTGCATGTTCACCATTTATTCATTATACTTCAATATCCTACCAATTACTATTTTTCCAGGCAAAAGATGCATTAACTCATTTCTCAAGACCTTTTAATTTCCTGTGATTTAAGTTACATCTTGAATTTCTACTTACTTTGCTTGAAACCCTAAGAATCTAATTTTATTTTTACCATGTCTTTTCAGAAACACAATTATGTGATTTAACTCACACTTCACAGCAATAAAACACCAACCAGGATAGGAAGTTATTTAATTTTCCTTAAATGCTAAACACTTTTTAAAACAATACACTGACCTGCAGTTTTGAATACAAATTTGCAAATACATGATATACATGGTTTAAGAATAAAAAAACAGCTTAAAAATAGCATGGGAAACTGAACTAATTTTAATCTTCCCACATTTTCCACCCTTCACCATTTCCCTTGTAATTTTGGAAGGAATTGTCACTTTTTCTGCTTTTTAGCTTCTCTAATATTTTAATGTTTATTTTATTATTGGCAAACACTGCTAACAAAACTGAAACAAAATAGTCCACTTAATACCTTGCTCCTACGAAATACAGGTCACATGATGGGTAGTGGTAAGAGAAATCTCTACCAAATTTTGGTATTCTTGTCTTGTAGTAATGGCCATGTTGTGAATGAAACTCCACAAATCTGCCACACTGCAAGAAGACAATCTGAAAACAAAACAGAAAGCACTGAAATATACAGACACAGACAAGTATCTCTCCAACTTGTCTTTTAGCACAAACTTCAGTGATTCTTTTTTTCAAACTCATGAAGGCTTATCACAGCTTATTCAAACAATTTCTACTAAAATGACAGAATCAACTAGTGCTTCATTCTCAATAGCCACGGCAGAGTTTTGTTAATATACATTATATGAATATTCACAGGAGTAAATGAGACACCCTGAAAGTGACTGTGCAGTCAGAAGCAGCACAGTTATTTCACGCTCTGCTGCACCAAAATTAACATTTCTACTGCCTTCAAGACACTGCAGTTAGTGATTTCTTCCAGGTACAAAGCTTTGCAGACACCAGTACATTCACATGGACTAGGCAGATGAGCTACACATCCTGATGCACAGCAGCATTCCAGTAAATGACACCAGTGATCTTTCTACATTTTTGTTCTTTGCCAACTGAATAAGAACATTGTTTTTTTTCTGAAACTTAAACAAACATCTCACTCCTGGAAAAATCTACAGGGAGGCATTACTAGAGAGCTCAACCTACCCCAGTAAATAAAATAGGCCAGGTTCTGCTGTTACACTCCTTATGGCAGGTTAACATGGCACATACCCACAGGAAGGGATACCCAGAGACAGGATCACCCCCATCACGTGCTGCACCTCAAACTATGGCACTGAGCAATGGAGGAACAGCTGGCCTGGCCCAAACTCATGCCATGCATGATAACCCCTGCCAAACCTTTGTCTCTGAGCCTCATCACTATTTAGCTTGGATTAGAGAAGTGATACTTTAGTTTAGCCCGTGTAGTACATGCATCTTCTAAAAACAGTACATAGCAAATATCTAAAATTTTCTACTGCTGAATTACGTAGCTAGCAATGCAAATAAGGATGAGAAACTCAGGGAAGTGAGGTGACTTTTAAGTTTAAAGTTAAATTTAAAGTTTAAGTTGAGTTTTATTTAAAGTTACTTTAAATCTGTCATCTTTATTTATTAATCTGTATAACTGTCTTACCTCTAATAATTTTCCATTTAAACACAAATTTCTATAATATTAGACTTGAATATATTAATGTTCTCCTCCATTAGTAGTGAATACAGCTCACTGTAAATTGTGTTTGTCATTTCTTCTTACTAAATTAATTTTGGTCCTCACCAGAAAACTACAACTAACAGTAGCAAATGCATTGGCACTGGTGTGTGGCAAAAACATTATGTGGAAATACAGGTCTCCTGGCAAAAGGCTGTGGGAAAAAATACACTACACTCTCTCCCAAGCCTAAAACTTAGTCCAAGTCTAATACTTTTAAACCTAAAACTTAGAAAGGCACAGAAATGTAACTGGCCTTTTCTTTCATACAGATTCATACTCATCTGTATGAAAGAAAAAAGGTGCTCTCACTATGAAAATGCAAATAAGCCTCAAAGAAGCCTTAAAGGGATGGCAGGAACAGATTTGGAGAGACACTATTTTCCCTGGCTATGAAAGGATGCTGAGAGCACCAAGAGGGCTACCAAGACTGACAAGGGACAGAATCCAGGACAAAAAAAATCCCTCTTTCCAATAGCAACAGTAAAAACTCAATATTTTCCTGGGCAGGAACTAAAAATTCTTTATGACAAGATAGAGCAGAATTGCAACAATTTATTCAGTAAATCTTTGGAACCATCATCCCTGTGGATTTTGACAGAACTGTTCAAGCATTAAAATGATATTTTAAAAGACCCATTCCAATCAATACTTCTATGATTCTAAAAATTTCAAGTGTAATTTCTCGAATATCGTTCCCTCTTTCTAACATGTCCACAACACTATGACAGCCACTTGAAGTTTATTTTTCTTTCTGATGATTTCTTAAGTTTTAGTAAAATAAAATTGAAAACATAAAGATTACATGAAGTTGAAAAAGTAGGGCTTCAGCCTGAAATACAGCACCCATTTCAGCTCAAAACACACACACCTTTCTGTTCATAACCAGTCAGAAACATTTGGGAAGACAGCATGTTCCTCAGTCTCCCAAATGACTATTTGGAATGTAGAGCCAGAAACATCTTCCACTAGACAGACAAGTGGGAAGCTACTGTGAAGTATCAGCTATTACATTCTGCTACTTGAATTCATGCACTTCCTTGGAAATCTCACAGGAAAAATGCAAAAAAAGCTACAAGGCTAGATGATCGTGCCTCTGATCAAAGAGCAGTATTTATTAAAACAAACCTATACCTGAAATGGTAAGGTCTTTCCACAGAAAAAAAAAGCATAAAATAAACACTTGGGTGATTCCTTCAGGTACAGCACTTCATTTAAAAATAAAACTAAAGAAAAAAGATATTAGTTCTCTCCACAATTTTTGCTTCATATACTCATCATCATGTCTATAACAACAATGACAAATCAGGTTGCTAATTTACTCATAGCTATCTCACCTTCCAAAAACAATGTACGTGTGCATCACTTGGCACAAGGGATTGTGACTAAATGTTAGCTCAGAAAGAACAGTTAATTCCATTTTTCACATTATTTTGCTTGTAGGATAGATCACTATTTGAGGCTTTTCTCTCCAACAGACAAAAGACTTTAAAAGTTGTAAAGTAAATTATAGTACAAAGACACAAAGAAAACAAAATTTTAAAGGTGCTAAAATGTTTACCCTGTTTGCTGTTTTTAAAAAAACATTTTTCATCCAAAAGCTGTGTTGATGGACTGCCTTTACTATATATGAAAATACATTTTAATATACATACTAATCAATTCTTTTATTTATACACTGAAAACTATTAAACATACCTTTGAGTAATCATCTGATAAAATCTCAAATGTAACCACTAGAAGAGAGAGGAAGAGAATTTTGAGTCAACTAAGCAAGCAGTTATTTGCAAACATTGGCATAATCCTGAAAACATTTAAACTCATGCTAATCTTTAGTCATGTAAGTATTCCTCACAGGTGTCAATGCATAATGCAGGCATTAATCTTTAGCAAGATCTCTAATTATGTAACTTGATTTACAAAACAATAAGTAGTTTTCTAAAACTTTAGAAACATATGAAGCATCCTGTAATCTTTTTATTGTTCTTGTATACTTGACACGTTCCTCAACACAATGCTCAACCACGAGTTTATCGGTGTGGGAAATGTCTAATCAAATGGTTTTCAGTAAGTGTGTGGTCCATGGAGCTTGGTAATCCATCAAAGATGATAAAAAATTTAAGAGTTTGGACATATATGCATAAACTTGCACATGCAGTCCTTCCAAGGGGTACGTACTTTCACAAAAGAAGTTAAGGCTCAAAAAAAATCACAAATGTGAAAGCTACTACACGTGTTGAACACTACCATATTGAACTTTGCCTAGTTTTAATTGAGCTGAGTTGGGAACATTAGGGAGTAGCTGCTTCAGCTAAATTAGTTCTGTTTAAATGAGATAACTCATTTAAAGTTACCTGAAGTGACTCTATGCTAGACTTCAAATTAAACATACTTCTGCAGTCTACCAAGATGCCAGTTCAAAAAAATTTACTTTAATTAGCAGCAAGCATTTATAATTACAATGACTTCTACTCTTTTAAAGAGGGTTTCACTCTTGCCATACCTTCCTCTCCCCAGCCTCTCTGAAACCCTGCCTAACACTGTTCCTTCACCCTACATGACTTCTTGTAGTCCTGAGGCAGAGAGCACAAAAACACCTCCATGCTCTTATTACGATTTTTATTTCTTGCATCACTTTCACACACATCAAAGTTCAACCAGTTCAATTCTTCTGTAATGAATGTGCTCATCTCCTTATTGTTTTGGTCACCCCTACATCCCAGCTTTCAGTCATCAGTCTTCAAACAGAAAAACCTGAAATAACAACACACTCACCGCCCCTGCCACCACCCCCCTCCTGCAAAAAAAAAAAACCCAAAACCAACTAAACAAAAAAAAATAACCTTCTAATTACTGAAATTTAAGCACCCTAAAAGCTCAGAGCTGTAGCAGCTCCTGCCCTCCTCTAACTGCCAAATGATTCTCCCTTTCCCATTGTCTAGATGGCTCCCTATTTTCCTCACCATAGTTGTTCTCCCACCAAATTAGTAGCAAATAAGGTGCAATTAGGGCCTTGGCCATGCTACCATCTACCCTAAGTATTTGTTTCCAGAGAACAAACAGAAAACCAAACCAGCAAACAAACAAACCAACACCCCCGTCCCAGAAGTTCTCTTTACTCTAACTCACCTACTGAGCTGGGCTCCAGAGAGAAAACAGAGCAACCCACAGTGTGTTCTCCCATCTTACTGCTTCACAGAACAGGTAAGAAGGGAGATCGTGCCACCAGCCAGCCATTGAACCTTTGTCACATTCACCAAACAGAACACAGACTTCAGCCACATTCACTCTCTGAGCCCCAGACTTTCTGCCTCAAGGTAAATTTTACATCACTCACACCCTCTTTTCCAGGCAAGGAAAGAACTTTGAAATCAGAATAAAGGGGAAAATTCAGAGATGAAGACTAGATGGTTTTACTCTAGATTCCTGCATTCCCCTGAAGTTCATTCCGTCTCCTCAGCACAGAGGGCAGAATTTCTGCTGGAGTCCAACCTGAATTATGTATGACAGACATGTACTAACATGTACTATTATGTACCAACAGCCATGGCTTGTACTAACCTTCGGAATCTAAGCATCTTTCAAATTTCTGGGATAACTGATAGGTATCAAAACAGCGGACCCTGGGCTTGTAAGTTCCTGAAAGAGTAATTCGATGTTTGATTAAATAAAAAGTTAAACAAAAAGATAATGCAAAAGCATTTTTTTCAAGTATAATGTCTTAGATATACAGGCTTTACTGTGTTTCTACTATAAGTCTTCTGACCTTCCCATAGTCTCTATGACTGGAAGAACACACCTCTTAGTAACACAACCTTACAGCCTGGTTTCTGTAAGCACCCTACTAGTATGCAGGTTCTCCTAGCTACCAGATATGTCCTACAGAATCTAGTAACACCTTCCAGTAAATCTGAAAGATCAAGGCTCTTTATGTTATTAACACCTATTAAAGTACTCATGTTTGGATCCTATTTTGACAGTCACAAAATGCAGATTATCCTCCTCCTATAAAACAATACTCAAACAATGATGTTCAGAAGTTATTTAACATACATACACTAAAAGTAATTCAGAACTTAACATATAACTGTATTATAGATGGATATGTTTTATTAATTTTTTATTTGTATTATAAACCCTGGCAGCAGGGGAGTTGGATTAGATGATCTTCAATAGTGCCAAATCATTCTATGATTCTAAGAATGTATGTATTCTAAAGAGAAGTGTTCCACAGCACCACTCTCAAGACAGCTGTTCTATCACGTGTTAAGAGTATGCTTCCAGCAGAATGTTAATTTCCACACTTTAAAATGAACTCTTAACAATTCTACCTGAAACACTCAGTCACTGCACCCAGGATTACCTAGGACTTTTGGCCTCTCTTAGAGAGACTGTTTGTTAACTCACCAACTGCCATAATATACTGTCCATCTCTTGATACCTTAATCTTTGTGCTAATAGTGGGCATTTCAAAGTCTTGAATAAGTTCAATTCTTCTACGGATATCTGTAAAGAAAAAAAATTGTAGAATAAGCACAATTCTATCAGTCTAAAAAATTGTAACAGTTTCCTAAGGAAGCATGTTGAGTTAATTGAGTACAGGGACTATCCTTTACAGATATTTTAAGTACCACATTATAAGCAGTTTAACACAGTCTGCTAACCCTGAGAAGCAGACTACCCCTGTGAAAAAATAAATGAGAACTGCAATGAAACTGCGTAACAAATCATTATACAACATAGTAGCAAATACTCATTGCACGCTGTCACAATTAAGGCCTTGTATATAAGGTATTCCATACTCCATTACCTCTACCCATTTTTTCTTGGTTAAGTTTCTTGCATAACACTTCCTGTGAATCCAAATAGCCTTTTTTATTTTGTGTAAGAAGCTCAGGCTAAAATGATGTAGTCCTGCTCCCTAAGATTAGCACAGCATCACAAAAAAGTTTATTGTCTGATTTTAATGTAAGGGACAACATGGAATTCATCCATCATGTTTCTGTTACAATCCACAACCCAAATATTTAATGTCTAAAATTTAAAACACCACTGGTGATACAGTGTTCAGGTGAAGCTATATGAGAAGTCACAATAACTATCTGCAGTTTAATTCTGTAGTTTTTATGTTATGACTTGGGGATAACTTCTGTGTATCAATCAGTGAGGAGTCTCCTCTGGGCCTGCACGTTATGTATGTGGAGTAGCCGAGAGCGAGGGGAAAACTCACCCACATCTTTCTTCTGTAACACTCTTTTCTTCCTGTCAGAGAGCCACTGCAAGCAAAGGCATACATCACTCTTGAGCTCATTATTCATACAGGAACCCGAGAATCAAAGTTTATCCAACCATTTGAAACATAAGACATTTAGGCCGCTAATTCTTTTTTTTTTTTCCTAATTATCATCCACTTTCCCTTCCAATGATAAACTTAACCATTCCACATCAAGAAAACACACAAGATCGTGCTGCTTACGGGTCTGTGCACTAGCACCGCCACAGCCAGAGGTTCACTCATTTAAACTGCATATCTACACTCATTTAAATGCATATCTAATGTAAGAAGCACTCAGAGCTGTTTCCCGGTAACGATCCCAACACAAGCGCACATGGACCGGGGCAGCCCAGCCAGGCCGGGCCGGGGCTGGGCCCCCGCGCCGGCACCGCGCCGGTCCGGCTCCCGCCGCAGGACCCGGGCCGGGCCGGGCCCGTTCCCCACGCCGCCCTCACCTCCGGGAGGCTCCTGCCGGCGCTCAGGCTGTAGATCTTCACCTCGTTGAGGCTGGAGACCTGCATGGCCGCAGCCGCGCCCGCCTCTTCCCGGGCAGAGAGGAAGCGGAAGGCGAGGCGCTTCCGCCGGTTCGGCCTCACCCGGCGGCGTGCGGAGCCGGCGGGGAGGGCGGCCTGTCACTGCGGCTCTGCCCCTGCCTCACAGCGGGGAGAACGGGGGAAGCAGAACAAGTCCGCGGGACAGCGAGGTCCGCTGGCTCCGCAGCTCACAGCGAAGCAGCTCCGCTGCCGCCTCGTCCCTGGGCGCTGCCCGCGGTCCCGGCGCTGCTGGGAGTCGGCATGGGGGGAGAGGGCCGGAGCCGGGGCGGCCGTGAGCCCTCTCCGCAGGGCCCGGCCTGTGTCCGGACACAGAGAGCCTGTCTGTCCGTCAGGAGTGTCCGTCAGGCAGCTGTGGCGTCGTTCTCCATGGTCTTCATGTGAACTCAGGAATGCAGGAGTTCTTCCTGCAGCCTTGGTGGAGGAGGTTAATTTTCTCACCCGTGGCAGACCGTGTCCCTTAGCCATGGAAAACAGTGAGTGCGGGATTTGCTGATCAGAACCTTGACAGCAACCGTAGAAAGACACATTCTTATTGCTTTGTAGCATCGCTGCTCAAAAAAAAGAAAAAAAGAAAACCAGTATGCAGAATTCCAACCATTCTTGTTCCAATTCACAGGATCAAAAGCAAGGACTGAAATAATGTATATCCAGTCCATATGCGTGTTCAAGAAACAATGAAAATTGCAACTAAATTTTTAACAATGCATAACTCTGGCACTGAAGCAAACTAAGCAGTTCCAAATAAGTCTTATGCATGGAGTATCACAACAATGCTGATACCAATATCACGACTGAAAAGAGCTCTTTTAGAGTGTTAGAGCTGAGATTCCTGGGAGATGAGCACACCTAAATACAGGTACCTGTAAGTTTAAGTTAGGTGTTTAAGCTCCCATTTCAGAAAGCTAAGGCTGTACTTGCTTATATGTAGGTTGTCTAGTGACATCTGAGATGCCATAGGGTATCCAGGGCACCTGGACGGCACTGACACAAGACCGATGGAAAATCCAAACCCTTCTGTAGTGTAATCTGCAGGCAGGATGTGCAGGGACATCTCTGGTGGCATTAGAAGCTCATGCAGCTGAATCTCATCTCTGGTAAATTAAGCCTGAGGAGTGTGATGCAGCGGCCACTGAATATTTTCTGTGGGGTGAGTTTGATCAGGTGCCACAGTCTGATTAGAGCACCATGAACTGTTAATAGACATTTAAAACTGAATTGCTGAATTCACTTGTCCACAATTCTGGGTATTGTAAGGAATCCCAGATATCCATGGGGGCTTGGTTAATGTGACTTGGAATGTGCAGCAGACCTGTGTTATCTTAGAACAGCAGCTTGAAGGCACAAGAGGGTATTCCAGGGCACCTCAAGAGGCATTCAGCAGTCTGATGCCTGAACCTACAAAGAATTCCTAGAGGTCTAGAATGCTGAAGAGAGCAGCTTTCCTTCTAGTGTCAGTGTCATAATTGCCTAGGTACTTAATTCTGGTTATCTGTTGGAGAAAGTTGTCTTGGGATATTCTTCAAGTGGGGTATTTCAATACCCTTAATCATTGTCTGGAGGCAGAGTTTTGCTCTCTTGCTGTGGCACCTGAAGAAGTACTCACAAATACTGAGAGAGGCAAAGCCACAGAAAAGTTCATTGCTTTGGTGGATCAAAGGGAGCAGAAAGACACGTGATGATCATGAGGGAATTAGACAGCCCTGAGATCACATGGCACCACATGTGGGGCCAGCCAGGGAAATGAGCTGGCAGAGCTGTGTTACCACCAGACTGCAGCACAATCCTGGTCCCACAGCATGTCTGCCTGCTCCTTCCCCTCCACCTTCACTGCTGCCTCATCCAGCCTAAAAATATGTAAATGGGGTAAAAAGAAAAAAGTTTGAAAAGTCACAGTAAACTGAGAAAATATGATAACGGAAAACATTCAACAGGACATTGCTGAGACATTAACATCATTCTTTCTCTTTTCTTGTTAGTTTTATTTTAAAACAATAAATAAGTAGCATAAAATATTTCACTTTAATAATAGTAAAAATGCTATACAAAGGGGGGAAAATGGCATTCCTGCTATAAAAATGTTAAGGAATTAAGTAGTGTATATTGTAGAATCCAGAAATTCAACAACCCTACAGCTTGGATTTTACCTTATTTGTTATAACAAGCATGTGTACAAAAAAACATTCCTAAAATCTAGCACCACTGCAGCAAGAAACTTTTCTCATCTGTTAGCACTACAACTTACATGATTCTAAATTTAAGGAGATTATGAGAATGTAACATTTCTAAAATTAATTATGCAAAGCATTTCCACAGCTTGAGATTGCGACAAGGATCCAGTTAAAACTGTTCTTGGTTTGTGATGGGAAAGAACTGCCTTATCTAGGTGATCAGGTCTACTGTAACTTTCAGACCTGTAAGCTGTGGGTAAAGATAGGTATGATGTAGATACTTAAACATCAGTTAAGTATGTTTTCATTATTAAAATGTATAGTTTAAAGAAACAAACAAAAAAGAAGGATTAGAAAATAATTACTTCTTCTGTGAATGCCATCTCACAGATCAATATGTTCATTTTTTCCCATAACTTCTGGAAGACCCTTTGTCATGCCCTAGGGGACGCTATGATTGAAAAGAATTAGAATCAAACAAAAAAACCAAAAAAATCCCTACAAAATGGTTATTTCAGCTACAGATCTTCTCAGTATCTTTTTCTGCTTTCAGTAGAGACTCACTTCCTCCACACATGAATTGCTTTTAATATATCACTGAAAATGTTAAAGAGAAGTAAAGGAAGATGAATCTTTGGCTAACCTAAAGAATCTATACATTTAGGGTTTAAGACCTTGACCTGCACGTTAGCTACCTAAAGCATTATTTACACGGCATCATTCAGGATGCCTTGCATCAGCTGCTTCTTCCTAGTCCTGAAGACACTTTAATATTTCAGGAATATTCATTTAAGGTTCTTGGAAGTGTCAAGAGCTTCTGTGCATGACCAGACCTGCCTGCCTCCAGCATCTCAAACCCTCTCAGTTTATGACAGATCATGTGGAAAACCAAGAGCATCCTTCTGTTTAATTACTTGTAGGGGCTTCATTTACAAAGAAACATGAGTTAAAAATACACATTTTTGGAAGAAAATAAGCCCCCAGTAATAGCAGAGTTTGCCTAAGCATGACAAGGATTCCTAAGTATTAGACAACTCAGCTGGAAGATGAGAACTGGATAACCCCCAGTGAAGGGGCTCGACTCCCTCTTGGAGAGGTGCCTCTCAGAGGCAGGTAGCCAGCGTTTAGACATTTGTTACCTTCAGAGCATGTCTGGATTAGAAATGCCTGGAGAATATAATTCCACACAACCTGTGAAATACTCCCAGTGTCTTAACCAAGCTTAAGGCAAGGTAAAACAAGCTCAAGAGTTGCTAAGGACTAAAAGCCACAGCTACAAATGAAAGAAGAAGCATCACCAGGAACGAAACCATCTCTATTATGCTGAGTCCACTACATATTTGCTTCATTAAATGAAGCACTTAGGGAAGTCCCTGAAACAAGAGTTTCCTAGAAGTCTTTAATTATTCCGAAAGCTTCAGACTTGCTGAAGGTAGGCAGTGTTTAATAGAAACAAATGGCTTCTGCGTTGTTTGCGCCAGCAAATAGCGAGGAGATGCAAAGCTGCCCTAGTCAGAGCTGTGACAGAGCTTTCAGGGCACCAGGCGCAGCAGCTCCCTGTGCTCCGGGAGGGAGCCCCGGCCCCCTTGCACCCCCCGTGGATGCGGCGGCCGCCTCGCTGCGCTCCGCCCCGACCCTGCCCGGCCGCCGCTCCGGGCACGGCCGCGCCGGGAGCCGCCGGGAGCGGCGCGGGCACGGGGAGCGGCAGGGCCGGGAGAGGCAGCGGGCAGGTAAAGCAGCGGGCTGGTGAGGCAGCGGGCAGGTGAAGCGGCGGGCAGGAGAGACAGCGGGCAGGAGAGGCAGCGGGCAGTGCCCCGCGGAGCCCCGGCTCCCCTCACAGCCGGGCTGGCAGCGCTCGGGCACGGCGCGGGTGCCGAGGGGCGAGTGCCGCACCCGCCTGTCCCGCACACCTGAGAGCAGGACGCGTGGCGGGGATGCTCCGCGGGAGCTCGGGAAGGAACGGAGGATTGCGGTGTGGTGCCAGCTGCTCGCTCTCCTGCCCTCATCTCTTTGCTTCGTGCCACAGTAGTTGTCCCTCTGTTCTCGCTACTGTTCCATCTGTGTGGCTCTGCCGATACTGGCCCTGTACGCCAGGGCTTGCCTTCCTCCAGCTCCTTCCTATCGAGCCTGGGAAGAAAAAACACAGAGGAAAGCAATATTCTGTGCTGCCAGTGGCACCTTTTGCAGCCTCTATGTTTAGCAGAGGTCTTGCTTTCATTTTTCCTTGCAAATGTCCAACAATTTGAGAGAGAATATTTATCAAGTGGAAATTCCTTATTGCTTTTGGGTGGTTTGGTGAAGCCCCCAAGCTCCCCAACGGGCACTGAACTTAAAGCGCAAGGCAAAAGGAACAGGCTGGGAGGGAAAAGGGGAGGAGGAAGCTTAATTTCTTCATGCAGAAACTGGATGGAACAATCCTGAGAAGGAAGGAACAGCCACACTCTTTCCGTGACATTCTGGAGAAGGTCATGTTCCATTTCAGCCTGACTCACTCTCCTGGTGTTTCTGAAGAAAAGAAATCAGTGATCTGTTCTAACTCTTTCTGTTCTTAGGGAAGGACACATTTTGTGTGGTGCTCTTTTAGCCACTTACCTGATTTGAGTTTCTACAGTGACCAGCAGCGAAGGAAAAATATTAGATCATGTCGGAGTTCTGGCTAATTTCTGCCCCAGGAGACAAAACAAATCTGCAGGCATGGGAGAGAATGAACACTGTGACATCTAAATCAAACTTGTCCAGCAATAGTAAATTCCATATTCCAGACTTAAAGGTAAGTGAGGAAGGGGTTTGTGTATGGGCAAAACAGCAGCATTAGCCAGGGCTAAAGACTTTTGGGATAAATACGAGATTTATCATTTGGGATAATATGCAGAGCATAGAAGAAGCCTGTGGTTGGGGGATGAGTTGTGTTCAGTCAACTGAAAATTGATCAGAGAGAAATAAATAATTGTTCTTGAAGCTGAGCTTCACATTGGAAAGGTAGATGTATAAGAAGTAAACATGAGTGAGATGTTAAATAGCTGATCTATTGCATTCCATGTACAATGTGCTCCTAGTCATGAAAGTCATACAGCACGGTACATCCTGGATTGCTAATGCAAAGGGAGCAGCTGACTATCCACAGCCATGGCAGCAAGACTACTGACAGAGAAAAGAGTGTTGCTTTTTTGTGTGCACAACAAAGAGATTGATAAGATTTTTATCATCCATTAACCTTATTTTTATCATCTGTGGACCTTACCCCACTGGTGGTGGTGAGAGTCTGCTTATGTTGAAGGAAGTAAAGCATTTGGAGTATCTGAAGATGCTCATTTGCATTCTATTTGTTCTACGTAAAATTTATTTCTTCTCTCTTAGATTGAACCAACATAATGTTGAGCTGGCAACATTACAAGAAAAGGTTTGGCAATATGCTGCAATACCATAAATATGAGGTTATGACTGACAGTGATTCAAAAAGCAGATGTTGGTCAGAAATGGCTTTGTGAGAGACTTGCTTCGGTAATAACAGAACACAGACACCCCCTTTTGAAAAACTGCTGCTTCCCTTTGTTCTCTTAGTACATCTGACTTGTTTGTATCTGTGCATTATTTGTGTGCATTTCCAGACACTATTTTGTCTGGTTAAGACTATTCTATGGAGCTTGATGATAGAGGACAAAGAGAAAACAGGAAGAAAGACACTTCTGTGTAATCTTGAGATTACACATACTTTTTTCCTTTATTGGAAAAGGCTTTTTATGCCCTAGTTCTTGGGTAAAGAAATTGCTACTATTTTCCACCAAGTAAATAAGTTTCTGTTTCTGCCAAACTGTTAAATTCATGTGTACTAAGGACAAGTCAGTCCCCTTAAGGCTCTGCCAACAAAAGCCTTAGACAGAGTTGTGCATCTTTCACCTAATTCTCATCTTTTGCACAGGTGGGGACACTGGATGCTCTTGTTGGTCTGTCAGATGAGTTGGGAAAACTTGATACCTTTGCTGAAAGGTAAAATAGATCTTATTTACCACCTACAAATGAGAAACAGACATTGTTTTTATGGGATGATATGTCCTTGTGTTCACCTTGGTCTGACTCAGTTCAGCCTGGACTACAACTGGACTAAAGTGGATAGGCTTTGTTTAACCCTTGTGCTGATTGTCATGGAGTTATCACAAAGAAAGACTCATTCCTTAAAATTTAGATGAATTATATCCACAGTTGCTTTGTCAGCACAGCAATCCATTCGAGTGGCAGTGCTAGGGAAGCTGTTTCTCATAAGGAAACTGTTTTAAATGGTGGGTTGTGGAGTTATTTTGTTTTGTGCTTTTGTTTTTGTTTTAAAGAACATCCTCCCACCTCATCCAGAAACTTGATAAAACAACATTTAGAGAATGTGAAGCCCTCCCTGGTCTTGTTTTGACAGAATATTTCTATTGAACCTTCTATTCCTTTTCAACTAGATAGAGGACCTCTAATGATTATATTCATTTGAATGAAGTCCAGACTGCTCCCTCTCAGGCTTTTAAACTCCTTAAAAACCAGAATATTGACTCATATTGTATCAAACCTACTTAAGCAAAGACTCACATGTTCTCCTTGCTGACAATTCCCAAGTTTGCCTTTTGGGACAAACTGACCTGGGCATACAAAAGAATAATGTAGTACAGCAAGCTAAGAAAATGACAGGTTTTAAGATACTTCATGGCACAAGGCAGACTTTGAGGCAGTGAAGGTATAAGCTGCTGGGTTTTTCTGCCTTGTTCTACTTTTTGCTTTGGCAGCTTTGGTCACAGACACATGCATTAGCTCTGGGTCTTTTGCCTTTTTTCTCCCAGTCCAGACTGATAAGCATTTTCTTGTCTAAATATGCTCAATCCTTTCATAGATCTTTGTGTGGCAGTTGCAAAGAAATACAGAAACCCTGATATAAACTGTTTGCATCTATGCTAGGCAGTTTAGGTGAATGTTGGTCTGCTAGAATACATTTCTCCATAGCATTTTTTTTTCTGATTTTCCTAATGCTACACAAGAGTTGTATTAGAATGATTGCATATGATAATTCTGGGTTGCACACAAGATGGATCTTTTAGAATCATAGATACGATTCATATCTCGAGTTGAAACGGATCCATCACCATCATTGAGTCCAACACCCTGCTCCTCACAGAACTACCTAAAACTAAACCATACTGATTCTTCAGGACTTTAAGCAAGGCAAAGCAACCTAATTTATCAACAAAACCATCTCCATTGTGACCTTACCAAAGATACTGCCCCAAATCTTTGTAACATGTTCCAGCTTCTTCTTCAATTGTAGAGATTCTTGAGGAAGTGGAAAGGGGGGCAAATTTGGGGAGAGACAGTGCCCATACCTGCTATCTGTTCTAATGGAAAGTGTTGGATGATCCTTGTGGATCTCTTCAAACTCAGGATATTCTGTGATTCTATGTCTCTAATCAGGGCAGCAGATAGGAAGCAGCTGTGTGTTCTGGGTTTGAGGGCTGCCAGCAATTATCAGAACTGATTTTTCAGAAAGGCATAACTAATCCCCAGCTTTGTGAAGCATTAGGAGTTCTGAAAAGCTGAGTTCAGAATCCATGTAAGATCACGGAGGGCAGTTAGAAGTGAAATGTCAGTAGGAGCTCCTTAGGCTCACTGGCTCCTGTTATCTTTGTCTTTACTTGCCAGCACGATACAGCTGCTCGTTCAAGCTGAACACCACTTTACTGCACTAATTGTCCCTTTAATGCCAGTAATGACTCTTACCCTCTGATGGGCTCTAGGGACATGGAGCAAAGGGGTCAGTGAGGGCCATCCACTGTAATCTGCTGAGGCAAGGACTCTTCCTGTTTGTCTCATTTGCCTGTCAAGATAGGTAACCAGCAAGATCAACAAGATTTAAAAATAAGAAATATGTTTTGAAAAATAAGAAAAATGCATTAGAGTAGTAACATTATAGTAACAGAGAATAACAGAATAATCGGAGGTATTAGCTGACTGAGTCCCACAAGGACATACAAAAGTACTTTGCATTAAATAAATGCCTCAGGTTTTATGTGTAAACCCTTGTGATTCAAGGGTTAAAATGCCAGGCACTCTCACTTGGTTGAAGTAAATGGCATCCAGAGGGTTACAAGCCTGTTCAGATGACCTGAGCATTTATGTTCCTGGTTCTGTGAAAGAGCTGCCTGCTGAACTGTTGCTGGATAAACACAGCTGCCACTAAAGCCAGGCAGTGCAAACCTGTCAGCACTGCCTCCTGCCAGGACAGCAGAGAAGGGCAAGAGTTTGCAGGAGCTATTGTTTCCACATACTTTTATTATTTATTTACACAGGGAGGAGGAGTGTTTTTCCATGTCATCCTGTGGTAGCATGGAGCTCTCTCAAAAGCTGACAGTTTCCTGGGTCACTCTTACCCAGGGGTTCTCCCTGGTCCTGGGTCAGTGGCATACCTGGGAGTGGCCTCAGACTGCAGGACTTCTGCTCCCTGCAGTGTTTTGGAGGCGTGGTGGGTAGCACCCTTTCTTTCTCAATATCATTTAAAGAGTGTTAGACTTTTTTTTTTTGGAAGCTAAGGACATTGCACAAGACATAATAGTAGGTTAAATGGAGTTACTTCCTTTACAGATTTTTATTACTACTTCTTGAAGCAGTTTTGCTGAAACTCTCGTTTTATAATGCATCATTTGATCATGGTATTTGCTCAAGATGGGATTCATCTTATCTAAAAGCAGAGATCTGATACTTAGCTGTGAAAACTGTCTATTGTTGGATATCAGTGTAGTCAGTGGGGCTCCTCCAGGGGTCTGATTCCTGTCATTTGCTCCAGACATCAGTGGTGTGGAGGGGATAGGTTCTGTCTTTGCATGGGAAATATATTGGATGAGCAAATCCCACTTGCTTTGACAGGATGCAATGCAAGGCACAGAGACTAAGGCAGGACTGGAGAACATTCCTCTGGCACAGTGTATTACACACAGTGTGGCTGTATCCTGCTGCAGGGACCATGGGATGTGTGGGTGGGAAGGGAGCCAAGCCTTGCCTGGGCAGGTAGGACTGTCAGGTGCCTGAGAGCACACACCTGTCCCCCGCTCTGTATCCATGGAGAGAAGCCAGAGCTGTCTCCCACCTGTCAGTCAGCCACCAGATGCGCTCAAGAGTCCTGAAAGCAGCTCAGGCCCTTTGGAGAAGCTCCTGGTTTATACATGTCCCTGTGAACTGCTTTCTCCATAATGTCTTTAACCTCTGCTATGCTGTTGGTTTTACCACCTGCTGTCTTGTTACATGTTCTTTGGGCTCTTTGAGCATCGTGAAGGAGACAAAACCCAGCTCTAGCTACAAGCTGAAATTTGCAGAAGTGCTTGGTAAGGCTGCAGTTGTCAGGGAAGCTTTGCCTTGATCCCTCAACCCCCCCACAGACTGAGTGTGGGAAACATGCTGTCCCCTCACAACCCCCAGATGAGTCCCTATGAGGCTGCAGCCAGGTGGGGAAACACTGCAGCGGCTCTGAGAAAGAGAGGTGAACTGGAGCACAGTGGTATAGATTCCTCCTACAGGCACTCTGAACTGCATCTGTCCAGGGGCATGGGAAGAATGATTTGGGTTGAAAGGCTACTTTAAAGATGCTCTGGTTCCAACCCCCTGCCATAGGCAGGAAAACCTTTCATTATACTAGATTGTTCAAACCCCTATTCAACCTGGCCTTGAATGCTTCCAGGGGCTGGGCATCCACAACTCCCCTGGGCAACCTGTGCCAATGCTTCATCACCCTCATAGTAAAGAATTCTTTATATCCAGTCTAAATCTTCTCTTAGTTTAAAATTGTTGCCTCTTGTCCTGTCACTATAGGCACTGGTAAAAAGCCTTTGTCCAACTTTCTTATAGGAGCCCGTTATATATTGAAGTCACAAGATCTTCTCTTCTTCAGACTGAATTGACCCCAAATAGCACAAATTTTGAGTATTGCATTCTTGGCAGCATCAACAATCTCAGACTTTTCCTAGCTGTCATAGGACTGGAAAACCTTTCCCAAGACTCTAAGTTTCTTCACAGTAACAAAGATAGATGCAACTGCTTTGCAGCACATGAAAGAAAACCCTCTTTTCTAACCCTTTCGTGGTATGTATACCTGGCCCAAAGTCTCTTTTCTGCTCCTGAAAACCACACGATTGGTCGAACACCGCATTGTCCAACCACATAACACAATGTCCAAACACTGTAGATGCCTTTTCAGTCTCCAGCTCATCTGCAGCTGTAGCAGTCTCCTCTTAGTAAGGAAAGAAAGAGAAATGAAGCAGAAGTGAAACCTGCTGTTACACTCCCTGTCACAAGGCCAAGGATTATGTCCACTTTGTGTCTCTGCCAATTTAATGGTCAGGGAGTAACCTTGTGGCTTCAGGGTTCTATACAAGGTGTAGTCAACCTCAGACAGTAGGGAACTGCAGGCCAAATTCTGTGAATACTTTTGAGTGCAGAAGGATACTTAAACAACCAGAGAGTCTTGCAGCCTGTATGAGACACATACTTTGACTACAGACGGGGGGACTACTGCTAGAGGGACTCGATTAATCCATTTCTTAAAATGGGCAAAGAGTAAGTGGCACTGTTGTCATACATAGTGCAAGAGCTCTACTGTCATTACATTGCAAGGGTTCCACATTGCTGGAGTTTTGTAGATCCTTGATGGTTCTTGTAGGCAGCTCCTCCAGGCACTGACTCTTCCTTGTCCTCACAGCAGCCACCTGACTCCAGTTCCCCTCAGGCAACCAATCCACTCTTTTATAACACTCTTCTCATTGGCTGCAGCTGTGGCCTGTTAACATCAGGCCTGCTCCCAATCTCTAATAATTGGGGCTCAGCTGCAACTCTTTAGGGGGTAAGATTATTTTCTATACTACCTTTACTTATGGTCTACCCTCCTGCATGGCACAGTGGAGACTGTGTTCTCTAGGAGGGTCCTTGCACAAATCACTATTCTGGACTGGATGGAAGGATTTGAATCTAGCTCTCCTACACCTTAAAGGAGTGTCTTGTCCACCATGCTGAAAGAGAAGAGAGAAGGAGTCCTGCAAAGAAAAGGAATAAGAAAGAAATTCCCCATCAAGCAAGATAACACTGCTATTTTCCCCTGAGTATTTTCTGAGAACCTTTTCTCAGCGAGCCCTAAGGTTGTCTTTAGCATCCTATGGAACAGGTCTTTAGTCAGCGTCTTTATGTAGCCACCTTTGCCTTTATTGCCTTGGGGGTTTAAAACATGAGTTTCTTGCCTTCTGGTTTCTGCTATGCATAAAATGAGTGTACAAAAGACTGAATCTTGATATTCTGTAAGTCCAGAACACAGGCAAAATGACATTACCTATGTTTTTGCAGAGATCAGTGTATTTAGAGGTAAGACATTTAGTTCTGCATTGTGTCCTAGATTTTTTATTATAATTTGAATTGCAAATTAACCTGCCTTGCTTCAGAAATGTTTTGTTTGGGCATTTCTGTGTTTATTAGATCACTGTGAAACTGTTTTAAAATAATTTTGTTTCTTCACTAACAAAGCTTCTTTTGTTACACTTAAGTGTAATAAAGAAAATAGCCCAGTACATAGGAGAAGTTATGGAGGACTCAAAAGACAAAGTCCAGGAAAATCTTCTGGCCAATGGAGGTAGGTGCTGTGAATGTGGGGGTTTAAATGCATTGATGCTGCTTTTGCTTGCTTCAGAATATGAATATGTGGAATTGAAACCCTCACACTTCAGAAAGGACAACCATCAGCAACATTTTATAAGAATGTGTCTAGCCTGCTCCCATTTTTCTCAGCAGAAGCTAACTTTGGAGTGAAGATGAAAGTAAGAGACATTCTTGTTCACTCCTAACATGACTTAGCACACTCCTGTGCCCTGCCTGGGCTTGATTTCTTAAGGGCACCTAAATCACATTCTGTATGGTTGTGTGACAACTGTCAGTGATCTGTCAGTAATTTGCATTCCCCAGCTATTCTGGAAAAATACAACAAAATTGGATGTGGTATGCATGCTGATTACAGACTTACAGCATGATGCTTTTTGGATAAACTAAGAGTGTACACTCCATCTCCCTTTGTCTGCAATGTTGTACTTTAGACCTGTATTAATAAAGGATGGGGAGGAAGTTCTTTTAGAAATGTCCTTGAATGATATAAAACTGATGTTTGATGGGTGCAACTGTTCGAGAAATACAATAATCCCATTTGCTGTATTTCAGGGCTAAAGGATAAAATGAAATGTCTCCAAAGTATGTTGAGGACTGATGGTTGTGGTGTTGTTCCATGCATGCATTTGTGTATATTAGTGCTAGACACAAGTCTTGGTCTGGTTGTAGAGATACAGTGATCAGGTTACGATGGATTTCTCAAGTAACAACCTCGTAGCTTGATCACGATATCCCTATGACTTGAGAAACAACAGGTTTCCTTAATTTCCTCTGTTTCCCCTTTTTACACCATTTTTTCCCTATCAGCTCTGCATGTGTTCTATTAGAAGGATATGGAAATTGCTTGCATGTCTTACTAATTTCCTCTATCTGGGGTTGGTCATCCAAACAAATCATATTGAATTAGGGCATTAACCTTTATAAGATTACTGACTGCATCTTAAAAAATGAAGTCAGCTTTAGTATATGAGGATTCCCCTAATATATTCCAGTGTCAGTCTTCATAAGCTTCAGCAGCTTTACTGGACCAATTCTTCCTCCTTCCCTTTCTGATTAGTAAAAGAACTATAAAGTTGAACACTTTCTTGAGGCTGTGAAATCAGAACCAAAATTATAAGACATGATTTATTGTTGCACAGTCCTGTTTCATACTATTTGACCATCCCAAGATTGTTTTAAGTAACACTGGCTTTAGCTCACTTGTATATAACCCCACTAGCAGTTTGGTAGTGGCTATGTGTCTAAAAAGTTTTTTTGCTAGATTTTTAGGAACAAAAATGCAAAATGGTAAAAAATACAGCACTTTTAGTTACATGAACTTGCACACACACACTCTCTCAACTTTTCGGTGGATAACAGTTGAAAGCAGCCACATGCAAATTTTCCTCTTATAGAGGGAAATGTGTGCTTGTGTAATATAGAAACTTCTAATATATCATAACAGCATAAACAACCTTTCTTGAAATGTAAGTAAAGCTGTCCTTCAAAGATTCATACCAAATTCTCTTCCATTTATGGAAATGTTAAACCTAAATGAATTTAAAAAATTGGTAAGTGGTGGAGCCATTCCTTATAGTGAGCCCAAAACAAAGTAAAATAGGAATCATAACAATTTTGAAGAATTGAGTGTTTTGGAGAGGAAGTATTTAACATTGTGTTTTAGAGCTGGTATGTAAGTTGGATTATGAGACATGCAGGCTGTGGGTTCCCTGGGCAGCTGTGAGCTGGTAGGAATCATCTCTCCTGGGTGGGCAGCTGGGTGAAGCCTTTTAGAAGTGACTCAACAGGTTCCATAAATGAGGGATGCCATTCCAGGAGCATCAGGGTGCTGGGGCTGCTTGGCATTTTAAACACAGCTGTGCTAGTGTGTTCACAGTAGTTTTTTCCATCCCCAGGATCAGGCTGTTTAACTAACCTGCACCAGTGCCAGCTAGCACTGGCAAGTTCACTCAGGAGTGAGCTTGAAAAACTGGGCTGAGAACTCAAGCAGTGCTCAACTGCCCAACATTTGGATGCTGCTGAGATTCAAGGAATGTGAAGTTAGAAAGGACATGTGAGGTTCTTCAGGGAACTTATATATCTCATCAGCTATAAATTGGTCAGTGTCTGTCTTTAAAGAGCCTGTGTCTGCAAAGCCTGAGCCCACAAGCTTAGAAGAAAGGCAGCAGGGTGAAATCCTTGTGTTGTGTACCCTGTGCTGAAAATGCTGTGTGAACTTAGTTGCTGAAGTATTTTTGACCTGTCTGCCTTCCCCACAGAGATCACTAGCAAGCATCAACAGAGAAGTGTGCATGCAGCAGCTGTGTCATAGCTCTCCCAGTCTTCTGCCATTTTGCCCCTTTTCTACACCCTCCCTGTGCATCAAAATTTGCTCATTCCTGATGGGGTATCAGCAGGAAGAGTTAGATCTTTGCTCTATGACTCTTGACCATTGAATGTGGGGGACATTGACACAGCTGTGGTTTTGCAAGATGGGGAGAACACTGCTATGGCAAGGGCTCTCTGCCTTCCAGGCAGTTCATCGCTTGTTAAGAAGTCTATTTCTCCTAACATAAGATTTTCCATGCTTTGGAAATCTAATAGGGTAAACTGACTCTGTTGTGGGGTGAGAGAAGCCCATGGAAAGGATAGTACTCTCCTGCCAAGGGAGAGTATCACATGAGACTGCAGAGTACCCTCAGCCTGGTAGTATGGCAATTACACAGTTTTTCACATTCCTTCTCATGCATCTTGGTTTAACTAAACCTCAAAGTCCAGCCCATAAGAAATTGTGCTCAGACCTTGCTGTGGGACTGAATTAACTCTCTGAACAAGGCAGCAAAGAACACTGAAGTGCCCCAGCATGCATGTCCTTTTACTTAGCACATTGAGCTTGTTTTGCTCCCTATCACCTTAGAGCAACTTCCCAGACATTCTCCATGTCTACCCTCCTGGTCTGGAAGGAAGCCCACCCTTTAGGTGACATGCTTCTGGCCTCCTTGTCTAGACCTTGAGACCCTGCCTGCCGCCTTCCCCTCGTCTCCCTAACTTTCTGGGGGGGCATTCCAGCCCTTCTCATTGTGGCGGGGTGCATGACTTTACCCCATCCTAGAAAGGTCTGCAAGAACACTGTGGTGGTGAGTTCAGCATCCAAAGGCTCTTAGGACTCAGACAAAGAGCTGTTTGATTTCATGAGCTGCTGGAGGAGAATTCTTTATTTGGTACCATAATGTAAGCCTTAATGTTTCCTAACCTTAAGAGCCCTTGATCTTCAAACAGTGAAACAGGAAAAACCTTGTTCTAGGAGCTGGGTGTTGTATGTGTTCATTTCCCCTTCATTCTGGAAAGAAGCTGTGGGTCCCTGTGGTCCAAGGGTGCTTTGTTTTGAGGGTTGCATGCACAGGTCCTTGTTGTGAATTTCTCTTCTTGGATGCTGTGACTGGATTTATCTATTATATAAATAGCCTCTAGCTTTGTGTGAAATGGGGACCTTTGTGTGAAAAGTCAGTGAGGAATTCCTCATCACACCTGCATTTGTTTGATTTCTAGTGAGCACTTGACTGAATCACAGAGAAGTGAGATCTGCTACAGTCTTAGTACCTTTGATCAGGCTCTCAGCAACCCTAAATATTACTGCTGATCCTGGGCACAAAGTATTTTTCTGATAGCTGTTGCTGGGATTAAATTCAGGCATATTGCAGAAGTCTAGATTGAGTTTACACAAAACTGCTTTTACTGTGAAGAAGAGTAGCTGTACACTGCTGTGTCCCACTGATACAGATAATTTTACACTTTCTCTGTACTTTTAGGTGTAATGCAAAAAATATTTTTGGTTTAACTTTTAATTTTTGGAGATGTTTAGGAAGTTGATTAGATTGGGTCATCTGTGCATATTTGATCTAGATCAAATTTCTATAAAATTGAGAAGTAGGCTTCTGGTTTTTAATGCTCCGAAGTTAATCAGAGCTATGCCTAAGCTATAGCTGGGGACTGCTCCCCAAAGCTTGACCTGCCATCTGGTACACTATCTGCTTTCATGCATCTCTTTTTATTTTCAGTTGACCTCATTAGCTACCTGACACGGTTTGAGTGGGACATGGCCAAATACCCCATAAAGCAGCCACTGAAGAATATATCAGAAGCATTATCAAAGGTAAATTGTACTCCAGATTTTAAGATGTCAGCTTGGGGAAGTGTCTTTTGACTAATTGAGATCCCTCCCCTCATGGTAGGAGAGGAACCTTTGCCTTTGGTTTGGGCAGGAACAAGCTCAGAAGCACACACTTTGTACTAAAGCAGTTGATATTACTATTGCAGTATAAATTAAAATAACGATACATATATTGAAATTTATCCAGTCTGTAAGTATATGGTCCTTTATGAGATTCACTAGAGTACATTGATATGTTCTGTGCACTTTAATCCCCTCCATTGTAATTTTCTTTTTTTTTTTTTTCATATACTGCCATATTATTCTCCACTTCAGAGGTGTTTTTCATGAAATTGTTAGTCTGATATTAAATCAAAAGCCTTCAGGCTGAATGAATTATTTACACTGTCACTTCATTCAGAAAGGCATGATGTGTTGTTGTTCAATGTAGGTAAACAAATAAAACCATGAACTTGCCCCTTAGGTACAGCTCTAGCACAGCAGCAGCTGACCGAACCCCACTTTCTGCAGAGGCCTTTGCGCCAGGGGAGCTCTGACCCTGGCTCTCTCTTGGCCACAGGCTGGTGGTTTTAGGAGAGCTGGCAGCTGTGTCTCTGTGTTAAGGTGGTAGTTGTGGGACAGAGGGGAGAGCAAGCCCTCAAGCACTGCATTGACTCCCTTTTTTCACTTTGCTTTAGCAAGTGACTCAAATAGAAGCAGACCTGAAGACTCGATCAGCTGCGTACAACAACATTAAAGGAAATTTGCAAAGCCTGGAGAAGAAAACGATGTAAGTATTTTGCACTGGGGATGCTGTTGCTGGCCGAAACGTGGACAGTATGTGCTCACACCCATTGCTGTGTTCTGGTGGGAACAACTTTTCCAGCTTTAGAACATGCTGAGCATTTAGAGATCCAATGAGAACAGGTGGTAGCTGGTGTGGTCAGCATATCTCAAAATCAGCTCAGGGAGACTGAAGTTCCTAATAGGATTTTATTGACATTGTGAGCAGGCAGTCTTGGGAAAAGTCAACTGTTTTGCTCTGATGGGACTTCAGGGAGTCAGAAATTAGATGAGCTGTGTCAACTGGTGGATTCCTTTGCCACATGGAGCTGTGCCTGATATTCTGAACAGCATTTGCAAAGCTCCAAAGGAAACAGCTCTGTCTTTCTTGATCCTGCACCTCATTTGCATCCCACTTATATTTTTGTTTTCTTTTTTTCCTTCTGTTGCTTCAGGTAATGCACTGTTCAGGCTTCCCAAATGTTTTCTCTCCTGTCTTCATCTGCTTATGGTCTTTGCCTATGTTAGTGGTGACACCTGGGTATTTTTCTAGGATATTACTAGGGAGAATGGTAAAATCCAGTAAGTAGTAAATTTAAAACAAGTTAGATGATGCTGTGCAAGCCCTCACCCAACACATGCTCCTTTATACTATTGTTCCTACTCAGGATTGGGCACAGGGCACAGGTGGCTGCCTGCTGGCCGGGGCTCCACCAATGTGCAGAGGGAGAAGAATGGAGACCTGATGGCCAGGGACAATTCTCCTTGTCATCATTCCTCCGTCTTTAAATGCTGTCAACTCTGGTGTCCACCTGTGCTAGATAGCTTGGGTTGAACAAACATTGAATAAGTTACCAGCCAGTTAGTTAATATTTAGACTGGCCCAGGGAACCTCAAACCCAAAACTAATAATTTAGGTCCTTCTTCACTCCTGCCCAGTGACAGGGAGGGCATCTCCTTTTCACACCTAGTGCTTTCCAGCCACATACAGCCAGCCCTGGCTATCTACATGTCCTAGGAATTAATGTGATCAGGTGGGCTTAGTGTGTGGAGACCTCCTGCAGGTGCCACCTGTGCATGAGACTGCTGCTCTCGCTGCTGTTCAGCAGGAGTGTCTCAGCCTGCTGGTCCACAGCAGTCCAGGAATGCCAGGTTGCTGTGATAACTTAGGTCTGTACATACATGTTTCACTCTGCCTGCAGCACAGTCACACAAGCAGCTCAACAGGCTTCCTGAGAGAGCAGGTGCTTCCCACAAGATGCGGTGATGACTGGGAGCAGATGTGCACTTCCCAAGTATTTACACCCTTACTGTAAAAACAATAGCAGCAGAATGGTGTGTTTTACATAAAGGACATAAACTGGCCTTCTCTAGTCACCAATATTGTGTCCTTTAGTATTAGTTACTTTTTGAGTCTTTTAGTTAGAGTAAAAATAACAGAACAGCTATTTAAGAAGTGTAGCTGTGTCCTTTAGCCACCTCTTTCTGGACCTTCTTCTACCCCAGTATAGATTAGCATCTCCACCCACAGCACAATGCCCCCAATGTTGCACTGCTGAGTTCCTGCTACTGTTATTTTTACTTTGTCTTCTTCACCGTAGGGGAAATCTTCTGACCCGGACCCTGGCAGACATTGTGCACAAAGAAGACTTTGTTCTCAACTCTGAGTATCTTATCACGCTGCTCGTCGTGGTGCCAAAGTAAGGCAGCAGTGGGTGGCACTGAGTCCCAGGCCTAAGCACCACAACCAGGTGACATCTCGTCAGGTTGGGGCAGCTCCTGACTGCCCTGCTGGGACACAGGTGGAGCCCGTAGCAAAGAAGAAAAAACAATTTCTGCCAAGAGTGGTGCTAGCACAAAAGAGGGAGATAAAGACTGTGCCAAAGCTGGAGCAGGACAATTGGCCTGAGGGTTCTTCATGGTTACAAGTGGGTTCTCAGTCTCCTGATAGGAATAGTATGAGCTAAAAGAAAACCAGATTTTGACTGCAGCCTAGCCAGTCTCTAAAAGGAATTAGACCTGTTCAACTCACAATCTCTCTCTGCTGGCTGTACTCTTGTAAGTGGTCATACATAGGATGACTGCTGACAATAGGGAAGTTACACCAGGTTCTCCTCAGAGCCCTACACAAAACTTTTCCTCTCCATATAGCCCTGTCCCAGCACACACATACAGCACCATCCCTCTTCTGTCTTCTCTCTTTGCAAACTCCTGCCATACCCTTGTTCCTTTCTCACAGGGCTGGCATTCACCATGAGTGCAGTCTAGCACCAGATCAGCTCTGGGATTGCACATAGCAGATGTAGCACACCTACCCATGGACCAGAGCAGCTTGTGCAGGGGTCCTGGAGCATGGGACACTGTGTGGCAGCCTGGAAGTATATGCCACGTTCTTCCCACCATCAATTTCCTGATACTGACCCTTCCTGAAGCCAAGATCCAAAGCGAAGACAGCCTGTAGTATTGAGGGAAGCATCTCCTCAGCTGGTGACTAGGAGAGGAAAGGATAGGCTTAATGCATTTTAATGATATAACCAAGCACAAAGAGTTCAACCCTTCTACCCTAAGTTATTAGCATAATTAACTACATATATCAACATTTGCTTTCCAGTATATAGTATTTATTTACTGTGCTTTGTTTTGTGTTGCTCAAAGGTCAAGCTATGTACAGTGGCAGAAGACCTATGAATCACTCTCAGATATGGTAGTACCTCGCTCCACCAAGTAAGTGAAATTCCAAATTAAGCTCTGTGTTTGTTTCTGAGATCCCTGTCTTGTTTCAGTCCTTCAAACTGGTGGATCCTAGAGGAAATCACTAGTCTAAATGCATAGGCTCCACATTAATATATTTGCAATTCAAATAGAAATTAGTTTGTTGAAGGAAAGTACAGATGAAAGAAAGAAAGGTCAGGTTTTTTTACAATTAGCTTCTCTTTTCCTGTAATCTATTTGTTTTTATTTTCAACCAGACTGTTGCTTCTTTTTGTGTAAAACAGGCAATTTATTACATTAATTGAGGTATAGTTCAGACATATGCAATCATATAGAGCTTTATGGAAAGTACTTTATAAAAAGATGAAACACTAAATATGCATTTTTAATTGCTTCCTGTTGTAGCATAGAATAATTCAGCATACTGTCATTTGAACTAGCAAAAGCCATATTAATTCATTCTTTCACCTTGGGTAAAAAAATCTTTCCTAGGACTTAAATATTCCATTACATAGCTCATGCAGACTATGAGATCCAGTCCAGGGCACAAAAGCTGACCATGGTATTACCTGAAATGCAGAAGGTGGAAAGCATAGAGAAAGAAACAAGCTGTCTTGTCTACTGCCTGTGACGAAAACACAAGTGCATGTAAAGCTGGGGCAATGTTACCAGGAAACACAGAAAAATCAGGCAGACAGAATATGTGTGTATTCAGTGGGCTCAAGAACTAAACCAATTGAGTTTTACATTGAGATAGAGTAGCCAGTGCAAGTAGAGTTGTTGTTTCCTATTTCTGTCACAGCAGTTTTGAAAAAGCAGGGTGTTGTTCAGTATCATAAACGAAAATAGAAAGAATTGCAAAAGAGGAAGATGAGGTAGGTAAAAAAGGCATGAGGGATTTGCCATGTCAAATCACAGCAGTGGATTTCCCTCCCACAGAATGATTGCTGAGGATGCAGAGGGAGGACTCTTCACTGTGACCCTATTTAGAAAAGTGATGGATGACTTTAAGGCTAAAGCCAGGGAGAACAGGTAAGAAGCCCTGACTGCTGGGCAGGGCAGGCTAGCAAGAGATGAGGATCGGGTGAGGCTTGCTGTGTGTGCAGGATGCTGAATCCATCACTGGTTTTAGGACTTCTTGACTGCTTGTGTTTCTGTTGGTCCTAAAGCCATTGAGAAGGCAAGGTGGGAAGGAGCTGTGGTAGCAGAATGAGTGATCCTTTTCTTTAAGCTCCAAGTTACAGATCCTGGAATTGGCCTTTCTGCTCTCATTCTGCTGGCTTTCTGGGGGTGATTTCAGCTGCTACCCTCCCCATACTTTAACTTGTTAAATGGCTTAAATGGCTAGCAACTTCCCATACTTGCTTCTCCTTGGAAAAAAGAAATGAGTTTGCCTGGACTAAGGCTTGTGAGAGCAAATGTCATTCAATTGTAGGTTCATGGTTCGAGAATTTTATTATGATGAGAAGGAACTGAAATGTGAAAAGGAAGAGCTGATGAAATTAGCTTCTGACAAGAAGCAACAATATGTAAGTAGCACCTTATGAGTTGGTGGCCCACATAGTGGCAGCCTTTGCTACCAGGGTGCCTAAACACCTCTCTCAGAAATGGCTTTATGGTTCCAACTGTCTCTGGTGAGCTCATTTAGCCCATAAAACTGAGGCATATATAATGATAATAATAAAATTATCATAATTAAGAAAAATAATGATTTGGCCAAGGTCACTTGAGTTTCTGATAGACTGGGAGCTACTATCAGGCTGCCTGGGAGGTATCCCAGCAGTCCATGATGGCCTCAGTGGCAGTGCTAGCTATGGAACTGCTTCACTCAGCGAGGGGATCACAGCACTGTTCTGGTCTCACAGGGCCCCTTACTGCGCTGGCTGAAGGTGAACTTCAGTGAAGCATTTGTGGCTTGGATTCACGTGAAAGCCTTGAGAGTTTTTGTTGAATCTGTCCTCAGGTGAGTACACACACAGTGCAGGCAGAGATTCCTGGGCAAGTCAAAATGTACAGCTCTCTTCCTGGTCCAGGTCCTTTGTGGGAAGAGCCCTTACTCACCTTTTTTGTCTTGCTCGAGGTGTGTGCCTTACACACTCCATTCCAGAAGCTCACAGCAGACAATATAGACATCCACAAAAAAGGTGACATACATATCTGGTGAAAAACGATTTTTTGGGGGTACTTACAGGGAAGGGGAAAACAGAAAGGCACTGTTTAGTTGACTTTTGGCTTCAAAAAGAAAAGGCTTTCCAATAAGGAGGCAGTGTTGTTTCTGCAACACACAACCAGTGGGCATGCCTGGAGGCTGAGGAGGGAGAAGGGCACGAGCAGACGGCTGTGGCCCTTCCCAGCAGGTGATCAGGTATGTTGTGTTCCAAGGTATGGCCTCCCTGTGAATTTCCAAGCAATGCTGCTGCAGCCAAACAGGAAGTCTGTGAAGCGCCTGAGAGACGTCCTGAACGTGGTCTTCAAACACCTGGATGAAGTTGCAGCAGCAAGTATAATGGATGTATGTACTTGGACCGCAGGTGCACATGCTGTAGCTTCTCTCAGCTTAGCTGAATGAACACTTCCACTGTAATGGGGTTAGAGCATGCATCTGCTCACATCTTGCCATGACAGGAGTCTTGGATGCAGCTCTAATCCCAGCTGGTTACAGACTGGATTAGGGTAGGCTCAGATTATGATGCAGAGAGATTGCTTGCATCTTGAAGCATCTGATGTTTACAGCTACCAGTACAAAACAGGTCTGCTCAATTATGGCTGTTCATCTACATAAAAAGCTTAAAATCTACTATAAACATTCAGATTGATACAAGCAAGAAACATTAATTTGGAACTAAAACCTAGGACTGTCACACCTCTGTCCTCTGTAAAAGGCTGTCATTTATAAATAACAAGGCCTTCAAAAAGCAGCAGTACTTGCTTTCTCCTTCCCCGTATGTTGAATTACAATTCGAAACAATTTAGGCTTAAGCAATAAATGAGGTTGCAGGCCTTCAAAACAGCCTAAAACCAGCAAGCATGGGTCCCATTGCAGGATGGGAACACAGAGATGAGTTGCTGTGAGCTGAAGCACGCAAAAATGCTACAAGTTCATAACAGCACAGGCATGAATACTCAATGCTAATTACATTAGGCAGCCTGAAACAAGAAGCAGAGCAGATTCTCAGTGAATTCCCCACCTTAAGCATGGCACATACAAAGCTCCATTGCACCTGTGGGAAAGGAGCACAAAAGCAATCCCCTGGAGCTTGGAACTGCGCAGGTTTACTGGTACTAAAGTGGTTATTTCCTTTTGCAGCCTGGCGTGGACATCCCTGGGTTACAACTGAACAATCAAGAATACTATCCTTATGTCTATTTCAAGATTGACCTCAGTCTTCTTGACTGCAGTTAAAGAAGAATTGCTCAAGCTTCATCTATTAAGTTTCAAGACTGTCATGTTACTGTAAAACAATCTTTAGCTGCTGAAAGTCAAATTAAAATGCAACTACTGTAGCAGGATGAGCTTCCTACCACTTCTAGTAATTTTTAGTGACTACAGTAAAAGTTATCTCTTATTCATAGTTTTACAAAAACATATTTCAGAGGCAGAGGTACTATGGTAGTATTTATTTTTTGGTAAATTACAAAGATGGAATATCTACTGGACTTGAAATAAAACAAATTAAAAAGTATGGTGGCTAACGGATCTACTAGGTGTATACAGTCCTCTTTTTCTAACAAAGCAAACTTAAAAAAATCCAAACAGAAAAAGTAGAAAGCATCAGAGCAAAGCCCAAAGTTCCTTTAATTTAACAAAACCCAAAAGCCCCAGAGGAAAGTGCTGTGGAACTTATCATAATATGACTTACAGTCCCAAGTACTCATGAGTTTAGTTTTTGCAAAGATATTTCAGTTAGAACAGTTCTGTTACAGCTCATCTGCTGGGATGAGTTAAGAGTTGGAGCACATGTCCTGCACAGCATCAGCAGTTACTGCTGGCTGCCCATGGTTCCGACACTGCCTTTTATGAGGATGAACTACGGGCAATCTCTTACAGACACCAGATGACAAATATCCACGTTATGTTATTTCCTTGAAAGAAGGGGAATCTTTCAGCTCTTTCATTCCTTATTTATAAACAAGCTGATCACATCAGGGTCACTTCACTACACACCAATATACAAGACATAGAGAGCAATATAATGATGGTATTTTTATTAAAAAAGCAGCAGTAAACATCCCTATTCACAGTCCTGATTCCCCTTCCAAAGGAAATAGCAATTTCAGATCAAAACAATGCCAGATGGGAAGTGAAGAAATATTACTTTATTTGCTGGAGACAGCACCAGGGTGGTTGTCTGTTAGCACCTGGAAATCCTTATGCCCTAAACCAGAGATTAGCTTCATCACTAATCCAGGGGAAAAGACTGACAGCTCCCAGCATCTCTCATTGCAGCAGCAACCCCACTTCCATTGTTATAATGATCTTATGAAGCCTGGCACAAAGAAAGAGAAAGCCCCTGAGAAGGAACAGGAAAAGGAAGACTGAAGAGCATTTAAACTAAGATTGTCCATCTTATCAAGCTTTTTAGCCAAACTGTCAAGATCTCACAGCAAGGAGGTGGTTTAGGACTCCCCTCTGCACAAACCTCTATTCTAAAGTTCACTTTGAAGAGTCATCCAAAATGGGACTACTTGTACTATGTGCACCTTTCTTACTCTATACAAGACTAACACTGTGTGTCAAAAAATATTTTATTCTTTAATTGAAACAGAAGCTGAGCAGTTTCCACCTCCATGAAAAAAATTACAGTTAAAATTGGTTACACTAACAGCCTCCAGTAACACTCAAACAGCACATTATCAACAAAATAAAACTCAAGATGTTCCAAAGAAATATCCATGTTGTCCTCAAAATATTTGTTACACAATACAATCAAGTTTACTGGTTATGACAATTCATAGAATTTCTGCAATGTTTTCTTGAGATGCGTACAGTCCACTGCTGCAGTGCATCCACTAGCACAGTGTGTCATGTGCTACTTCTCCAGAAAAAGGCCACTGAAATATCTGTCTGATTGTGATCCAGGCTGCAAACTGCTGCACAGGCTCTCCCAAGAAAAGTTGTTTCCTGAAGATCTCACAGCTCATCTTTACCCAAGTCATCCAGATCCACATCACTGAGATCAATGTCATCTTCAACTGGAAGCTGTTAAAAAGGGAAGGTTTTGAGTACATGTTTAGAAGTGCCAGGAGATCCCTGAGTTGGAAAGATTCTTACTTCATCCTGAGAGTAAAGCTCTCTCCTGTCATCTCTTTCATTCACAAAACTCCCAAGTGCACTAAGCACAGGACAAGTGATCAGAGTTTAGACTAGGAGGTTGGTTTTTCACTAATCAAAACACTCCAGATGAAGGCTATACAAATAAACAATGTAACAAAACTACTACCCTATTCTGTGTTTTTATCTATCTGGAGTAGATCAAAGGCTGCAGTAACTTCAGTTTTTACACCAATGTTGAACCTTAAGAAGGCAGACTTGGTCACCATGTTATTTATTACACAGGCTTTACCTAAAGCTTTCTGGCATTAAAACCTTGATGGCAAGGTCAGCATATTCAGAACTCCACAACACTGGGGGTGTTGAATGCATGCACTACCACCTCCCTTAGTCAGCAGTGGTAATACATTTCTGCCTCAAGTGATCCAGCTTTCAGATCACATCCTAACAGCAGGAGGAACATCTGGGCTGCAATGTCAGATGATCAATGTACCATTTGGTCTGCTGGCAGGATTAAGATAAGGGGAAACCATCAACACAACTTGCCACAATCTTGTTAGAACAGGAACTTTCACACTGACAGCTGTTAGTTACTTCTGAACACTATTGCTGAGCACTCTCAGAAATGGAGTATCTCTTACCTCACCATCTTTGCCATCCCAAGGTTCAACTGAATGAATTTTGGGGAAAGCTCCACCACCCACTGGTGCTGTAGAGCCACGACCAACAGAGAGTTCCCTGAGAAAAAACAAACAGAATTAAATTTAAGGAATTCCTCCAACCTCCAGCCATCTGGAACAGAGCCTGCTTCAGATAAGAGGAATACAAGTTCAAGATTTCATCTCTTTAAGTAGATCTAAACTATCTGAATGCAAAAACCTCAAGAAGCAGAAAATTACAGAGTTCTTAAAGCACCATTGAAAATTCACAAGTGGATTCAAAGACATCTGTGAGATACACTATTTCATAGTTCAGCAGTGTAAAAATGAGATCAATGCAGCCTCTTTAACAGTTTATCACTTAAAGCAACTCCAAGGGAAGCCTGTAATTCTAGTTCTGGAAGTCACCTGCAAGTGTTAGTGGAAATCACCAATGATTTTCTTTACTGGAGGCAGCCTCCATGGGTTCCACAGGGTTTGAGGTAACCAGCTTTATTAGAGGCACTCCATCCTAAGCTTGCTAGTTAGGCTTGCTGAAAAAACCCAGCATTAAAATCCTGAGGACCTAATCCCTTTGCATCTTTCAGAGGCAAGCAAGACTGAATTAGCATTCGTCCCCAAATGGAGTTGACAGTTTTTCTGCTCTTCATAGTGCCTATTTCTTTACTTGTAGTCAACACTGCTGAGACTGCTTATTAGATTGCAGAAGCTGCCTACATCAGCTGAGTGAATGGCCAGCCACACCAGCCATGATCATACTGCTTTCTCTAGGCAGCATAGCTGAGCTGAACTGGCAGTAAGAGATTATTCTAGCAAGCAGTGCTGCATGATAAGACAATACCAAACCTAATGCAATATAAGCTGTTAAATTGGCTGTTGTGTCCTTGAAGCACCATCCAGCCTCACCCAGGAGAGGCCTCACTAAGATGGACAGACTAAGAGAATTTGCCATGTTTCACAAAGGCAGACACTTTCATGTGCATTAGTACAAACCATCTGGTATTTCTCTTGCATCTGTATCCTGACTTTACCTCGATGCCCTAAGAATGTTCCTTTTTTTGGCATTAAGAAGGAAGTCTGATCACTTTCACAGATAAGACTATAGCACTGATTCCATTAATCCAGTAGGAACTGCATTCAATTAATGTGCTTTTTATGGCAAGGTGGGGAGAGGCTGTTGCATTTGCTTTTGCAATTCTTGCTGTTTCTCTGCCATTCTCCAAGGACAAACATGGAAACAACACTTCTAAAGTAAGGTCTCAAGGGCTCTTGCATAATTTACAGCAGCTGATCCTTTATGTGTGTCCTGAGGTGACTTCATAATGCTTCTATCCCCATTTGTCTGTTTAGGCCAGAAATAAGTTTTGCACCTTTAAAAGTGGTTCCAAGAGCAAAGGGAGAGAGAGAAGAAGCGCGCAGTTTGTTATCAGAAACTGCACTCACTCCCCCACATCCTTCTCCTGAACAGTGCTGTCTGCAGCACAGACAGACGGCAGGAGAGCACTTTGCTTTTAGCTAGCTAAGGCAGAGAAGTTCCCTGGACTGTGGTTTTTATTTTTTTTTTTTTTTGAATGGTTTAAACCTGATCTGGACTGAAAGCCCAGAAGAGTACCAGCAGCTCACATCTGTGGCCCACCAGGCTGGGCCTGAGCCACGGCATTTCCAGCACTGGAGGGATGATAACACACTGAGTGAGCCGAACTGCAGCCCAGGGAGGGGACTTTGAGTTAGTCACCTCTTCAGAGCAGCGAGAGCTTTTATTGTTAAATACAGGGTGGGGTTTTTTTGTGCTGGTAAATGCTTTGCCTGTTAAATAAACAGGTTTTTTCCACTTTTCTCCAAGGAAATCTTTTACCAAACCAGTTGGGGGAGGGGCTGCTTAAATTTACTTTCTAAAAGAACCCCTTTAGGATTGTTCTCCCAAATCTGCCATAAACCAGGACAATGTGGAAGCAGAGTTCCCACTTCAGTTTGACCACACTAAAGTAATAGTTTAAGTTTAGTTGCTCTGTTTCAGTGCTGCTGCCACCTTCTGTCATCCTCTTCATTTCCTTTCCCTATTCCATTCTTCTCAGCACTGGCTCTTGCCCAGCTACATAAGAGGCAGTTTCACAGGACTTGTGCTGAGCAGTGAGTTACTGACTTTTTGGATGGATTGTTTCAACTCTCCCAATCAATTTATCAAGTGCCAGGAGAATGGAAAGTTGGGAGGGGGAAGACAGGACCAAACTGAATCAGAAAGATGAACAGCAACATATACAACCTCAAGAACTTCAAGAGCACCCACTGTGATTCCCAAACTGGGGACTTTCCAATTACTAATGACTAGTCAGAATGCACCATCTGAATTAAACGGAATTTATTAGTAAGTTATTTCTTAAGACAAACAGAATTTTTCAAAATCAAAGTCTACTTCTGTTTTCAAATATTGTACTAAAACTACCTATCTAAATGGCCAACTTATTTCTGCAACCCAAAAGAGGTAATGACTGCTTTATTGCAATTGCCATTGAAACCATTCCCTGACTCCACAGAATTCTCATCTTAATTCCCTTAACCATGCAAGTCTTGTGTGGTGCAGGAGTGTGCTTGTAGTCTAAAGAGTCATAGCCCTAGATACAGAAAGATTTAAGTCACTTAAAGATTACATACCTGAGAAACTCATTAATCCCTTGCTCACTGAATGATCCTTTCAGAAGGGCAAATTTCATCTTCCGAGCATTAACAGCTGCCATTGCTGGATACCCAAAGCCTCCAATGCCCAGAGAGCTCTCAAGATCTGATTGAGCACCTGCTTCTGTCCACAGCCACCTTGAGGAAAAGAT